ACAATTGCAACCAGCTCAAAGAAACATTGATTTCAACCTGTACTTACATCCCTACAATAAGGACTTGCCTCAGATGATGGATAGGGAAGGACAATGGGACTCCTCCCTCGTTACCTCCTTACTACCTGAGTACTTTCCTCAAGGCCAAGTAGCCCATCCTCAAAACAACAACCTGCCAGGTTTCACAGCAATTCCATTCCTTTCCCTTCAGGCTATGTGAGGAGCCATCCTGCTCCAAGCTTTCAAACCTGATAAAATTCAACAATTAAGGCAAACTCCTTAATTTCACAACACATGGATAGACTTAGACATCGTTTCATCTGTGGAACTGTGACCATCTTAGATCAAGCCAAATCTAGAAATGCTACAGAAGCCTGGTACTCTGACAAACTGGCCATCAATAACACAGAGACATAAACTACATCTACAAACCAATCAAAAGAGACAATAAGCTGAAAAAGGAGGAGAAAATAGCAAAACAACCCTCCACTAGTCATCAACACCCAGATGAGCAGAGATTAATACCAAGATTAACATCAGACCAATGATCAAGAAGTAAATAATATCCCAATCAAGGAACTGTCAAACAAGCTAACAATAAAGAGGCCAATCAAAAAACACCCAAAACCATTCTTCCTAACACCGACAGGGCAAGCCACTAGAACACAAAATGAGAGCAACCCCAACTCTCTTTCAGCACTGATGACATTATCTAGTTTGGGTAATGAAACATTTGCAAGAAAACAATCTAGGCATGGTCTTTAAGGCTCAGTGGTTGGAACTGAAACTCAGGAGGCTGGCAAGCCAAAACTGATCACAGTTCTTGTTTCCTTTAAACAGACCATGACTCGTCTATTACACTCTGGAAATATGTCTATTTACCAGTCTCCTGGGAGAAGTTCAGCTGGCCCCTGTCCTGTTCAGTTGTTAAAGAATAGCTTAAGATCCTGTTCAACTAGGCAGGATAACAACTGCTCCCAGACCCGTCTGCCTTTTAATTGAATTTTGTTTTAAATATTTAAACAGCTAAACAGCATACTTTTTTTTTTACTGTAGATTATTTTATTGAATTGTTTTACGGTTTTTGCTTTTGTATACTGTTCTAGGACGTTCCTTATTCTTCATGGGAGAAAGAGCCATACAGTAATAAAATCAACAAAAGTATTTGCCTAAGATATTATCTTTTGACAAGAAAAACATGGGAAAATACACACACAAACACAAAGTGTTAACATTTAGTGTACCTGTGCATTACTGCTCAATATCTTAATCCCCTAGAAGGCAATTTTCTCAGGGAATGCCTGTAGTCCCAGGGCACAAGCTTCACCCAGGAAGCAGTTTCTTTACATACATTTCAACATCCATTCACAAAACAAGCATATTCAGCCCTTTCTCTAAGCTAAGTATTTTATTTTTTCTGCCTGTCTCCTGTTGTTCTCAATCCACCACTGCTACTTTTCACATACCCTTATAATTTTTAAAACTCAGCCGCATTGATAGTAGCATAATCCAGACCAAAAAACATGACAATAACCTCAAAAGGTTGCAAACAGTGCTGAATATATTGCCAATTATGAAGTCAATTATCTGCGCTGCTTATTGTAGTTTTATTGAAGTCCACAAATTTAGGTTTTTATTCTTTCTCTTGTAATACACAGGGTGTATTATATTATTGTACTTAGAAGTTTTCAAAGGTGTCAAATGAAAAAGCAAGTGCTAAAAGAAAATGATAACCAATCTGAGCATTTAATGTAACATTTATAACATATCGTCTACAAGGTCTGATTTTTTTATACTCTTTGTATATATGAAGGTCTCAGCATTCAATAAGTACTTTTCATATCATTTCTCTTATGATTTGGGCTCCAGTATATTGCCATGCCAGCTATTTATTGATATTACATATTTCTAAAAACAGCCTTTTAATTAGTTCATTCAAAATCACTCTGAATGAATGAAACCAATTGCAATGTGTGCATTTTCCCACAGTCAAATGCATATTAACTAATATGAATGATTGATTTCTTCAATTTGCATTATTAATTGCACAACGTTCTAGACCTGGAAGAAAAAGATCCATTGTGATCATCCGTTCTAAACCTGTATCCAGCATAAGAATCCAACTTAAAGCATTCCTATTGGTGGAGCTGTCCAACCTGCCTGAACACATCTAATAATGTTTTCATCTCACAGTTCAAGCATCCAGTATCTATGATCTCAGTTACTCTTAAATTGAAATTGCCACTATTTTTCCATTTTAGCTACTGCCAAGCTACTCTGGTTTTCTGAAACTGTCATGCCACTACCTTCTTTACCACATAATCCCAAAAAGGGAAGGTTAGTTTACTGAATGAAAATTGTCTAGTATGGTGGGAGCCAGGGATGGCTTCTTAAGAAGGGGTGAACCAAGGCCTCCTTTAGAGATAAAGGAGAAATCCCCTCGTTCAAAGAATTGATCACAGTAGAACCCATTCACACAACACCCCCATGACACTTTAACAAGCCAGGAGGGACATGGATTTAGAGAACAGGTGGCTGAGCTCACAGTCCTACATTTACTGCTGAATTACTGCTAAATCTCCATTACTGTCCAAAGACAATGGCATTATGATGTACCAACATTATGGTGCCTGCAAGGACAGAAAATGTTCAGAAAATAAATACTTTGGAAAAATAGATTCTAGCACAAACAGTTCAATCACAGCATAGCACTGGTTAAAGAAAAACTAAGAATGTTGAAATTACAGTCTGCTGTATTATAATTATAATCTGTGTACACATGATTATAATCCTTTCCAATGCAAAACCTCCTCATTGGGGAATAAGTCAGTGTCAGAGGAGGAGTAAAAAATCCTTCACTCAATGTGCAAAACAACACAGGTGGCAACAAAATAAAAAAAAATAGTCAAAGACTCCTCAAAAAAAAAATAACTACGTAGTCGTTTTCCGCCTCTTCATGATTGCCCACATAAGCCAGTAGTTTTCTCAATGTTTTTTTTCCTCACTCTTAAAAAGTGATGTTCATTTTCAGTTACTCTAAAGGTATTAGAATGTCATTCATGTGCCTTATTTTATTCTGATTTCATCCATTTATGGAGGGCAACATTTCCTTTGAGCTGAACTCAACTCTTTGTATCTGAAAAAATGTTTTCACACGACCTGTCATAAAAACTGTCAGTTCTTATTAGAAACCATTCAAATTTCTAATAAATAATTAGGCTTTTGGACAAAGACATTATCTTGTGAATAATATGCCCCCATAGATATGGACCACACCACTTCCATGTTAAGCTTCTGAGAAGTAAATACCTTGCTCTGGTAGAAAACATTGAGGAGATGTTAAGTTTGGGATCTGTTCCTGTTGGATGGTTAACATTAAGTTTTATTGTTTTCATGCTTATTTTTTACTCAGATCTGTTTGGAGTGAAATGGTATAGAAATATCAATAATATAAATATAAATATATTCATATTCTCAAGATCTAACAATGGGAAGTAGTTTATTATTAAAATAAAGAAATTTATATTGGCAAAGTTTTTGGATCAAAATGCTATTCATCATTTTCATGGTATATATTGAGTACATTCTGCCAAAACATCCTCTCACCTGCAGGCACCTAGATGCATATGTTTTATTCATTTAAAATGATATATACAACTTGATTAATTCTCAGGGCAATGTCATCAATCATTCTATGACAAGCTCCTTACACTGCTGAGGAAATGCTATTGTATTTTTGCCCTTGCTCTTACCTTTTTGGAGAGTAATTTAACCCCTTACAGATACATATTGAACAGAACTTTTGCATTTGACATTGAGGAATAAGACAGTTTAGACCAGGCATGTCAAACCCACGACGTATCGCAACTTTTTCCCCATTGCCGGCAATGGGGTGGGCACAGTTTCGTCGTGATGTGGACCTCAACACTTATTTTACATTATGTGTGGTTGGCATTCTGTGATCTCAACTGGTTTGTTCTTTACTTTATTCTTCTACAATGTGAGTTTTCTGCTCTAGTCTTGGCATATTAGTGGGAAGCCAAACATGACATTTGTGCCAGTAAGGGATCTTTTCAGCAAATTTTCAACACAGAAACAGTTGACTTCCAGATCCACCATAGCATACACTGAAGACAATTTTTCAGGATTAATACTACAACTCTGAAGCAGCTAGTTTCCTATTCTGCCTCCAGGATCCTCATGTCTCCCCTCTTCCCTGAATTATGGGGTTCCCAGAATGTGTAAGAGAATTAATGGTACAGCACAGGAATAAATGAATCGTGTCTTAAATGGTGTTTGTCATTTCCTTATGTTAGATGTGCTTGCCATATAAAAATACAAATTAGGAAATGTAAGGTATGTAAAGTATGGGAATTAAGCAGAGGCTCAGATCAGCTCTAATTGAAAAAAAATCCAAGTCCCTTTCATAAAAAAGGAAAGGAAAATGTTATGACTTCAATTTTTGGAAATTAACAACCAGTGCCACTGCAACAGAGGAGCTATGAACTGACTAATAGCACTGCTAAATTAAAGCTATTAAAATATGCAAAAAAATAAATGCCTCACTTAGAATTTATGTAATGGTTTTTAATTCTTCTACCCAGTCTTGAATTAGAGCATAATAAAATACCTATACTTTTTATTTCTCAATATGTTTCTATGCATGTGATTTTACTTAATACAGATAGAAAGGTGTATTGGAGTGATTTAATTACCCTATTGAACGAAATGTTATGGAAATTATACTTATTTTTTTATAAAAAGACATATTCTCCTTCTCTTGACCATATGTCAGTTGAGAACATACTCTGAATGGGAGTCTTGCAAAACCAGGCAACCCCCTTATGGGATAGTCAACCCTTGGCTTGTACTTGCTAACAGGAAAGTCTCACCTTAATTCTGCCATTTCTCTTAAAGCTCGGGCTTGTTATATATGTTTTACATTCATTACTTTACATTAATTTTCTCTAGACAAAATAAAGTGTTGTACTACATTGCAGCCTCACTGTTAGGAATGAAGATAGAGGGGACAGCACAGGAAGACCAACACACAGTAGCAAACTGGAGAGCATCCAGGTCATTGAAGAGTGGTAAGTTTTTCATTTGTATTCTCTGAGAAAATTGCTGAGGTTCATTCTTACACACTCTCTCCTTGTTTAGCGACTATTCAGTTTTTAAGTGAAATGGTGATTAGTGAACATATGACAGAAAGGGAGAGACAGAGAGGGAAAGAGAGAGGGGGGGGAAGAGAAGAGAGAGGGAGAGAGAAAGGGAGAGAAAAAGGAGAGGGAGAGAGGGAGAGAGGGGGAAGAGGAGAGAGAGAAAGGGAGAGAGGGAGAGGAGAGAGAGAGAGAGAGAGAGAGAGATGCTGCGAAAATCCCAGATTGCTATTGTCTCATTCAGATAAAGTTCTCTCAATTTTACCTGAATGGACAATAACCACATGGGATCTTGTCCTGTGCCTCACCTGTTTATTCCCCATTTTTTGCTCCCTCAGAAGGAGGAGAGCTTGCTTACATCAACTACAGTCTCTCTTCCTGAGCTGCTTTTCTCCACAGCAAAGTGCTTTCCTAATAAATGATAATGGGAAGTTAAACTGAGCTCTCTGACCTTAATTAGTTGATTAGAACATTCCTGCCTCCCACTGCTGCCTGAAACTGATCAGGCCTGGTTAAAAATGGTTTTTTTATTACTATGTAGACAGTAATCTACAGTATATCTGTTTGCAAATGGTCACTACCTGAAGTTGTTCTAAATGAGGAATGGCTGAATGCCTTATCTGATCTTAAGTTCACAGAAAAATTCCTATGCATATACATACATAAGAAAAAGTTACATAAAATTGCAACCAGGAATCTAGGTTTTTCATTTGCTTGCCTTGTTCTTTAAAGATATGTTTTAAAATACACTCTAAAATACACTTTAAAGTATAAAGTGATATACTTTTAAAAATGGGAGGGCCAATAATAAATTACCTTATGTAACCAAAATGTACCAAACCAGAATAAGCTTTTCTTCCATAACAATAAAAGAGCGATTAAGGCATAGAAGAGGACATATATACTGTACATACTATTTTTGTTAAATAGCTTACTTTAAAATATACCAACAAGAATGGAGGCAATGTTTAAAATTCACAGAGATTTTATTTAATGGAACCTATGAGTTTTTCAGGTGGAATTTTTGGAAGGCAGGAAGCACTTATATCACTCTTGTAGCAAAAAACATCTCAACATTTTCTTCTCAGACAGAGAATTACTCATTATTTCCTCCATTAAATTATAACAATTCTCATTTTAATGCATTCACTTCTAATTTGTGTTCATTGGCATAATTCTGCCATATTTAGCAATATTAATATTCCTGTGATATATTTTCAATGGTAGGTGCTTTTTCAAAGCCACTCTTCTTAAAGTGAAATTGTTCTGTGTTTATAATTTTCATTACTAGTTTTCTCTGATTTTGCACTTCATCACAGTGCCATCCTGTGGTCAAAGTATGTTTCTGCAATACAGTATCTACTTTTCAAAGCAGTTCCCTGTTATCTACTGCCAAGGCTTCATTTTTTGATTCTTTATTTATACTATTTGGATAATGTATTTCTCCACACAAATAGATGGTAATATACATTTTAAAATTCATATACACAGAGAGACATATACATACATACATACATACATACATACATACATACATACATACATGTTTTCCGAGGTTTTCGTGGGTGTTTGTATGTATGTCTTTGGTTATTCGGGTTTTCTCCCGCGTAAAATTGGAAGTGTCCTGGCGACATTTTGACGGAAGTCCCATTCGTCATCTTCAGGCTGGTGTTTTTGGCTTCGTGCTTCTAGGAGCAATGTGTGATCGTAGGAAGTGAACAGCTACGATCACACATTGCTCCCAGAAGCACGAAGCCGAAAACACCAGCCTGAAGATGACGAATGGGACTTCATCGAAACATTGCCAAGACACTTCCAATTTTACGCGGGAGAAAACCCGAATAACCAAAGACCTACATATATATATATATAATCAAATATATGCATAATCAAATATATACATAATCAAATCAAGCTTGACTATAAAGGTGCATCCTTGCTAATTTCTTGACAGCAACAACATGCCTTATTTTAGGTTATTCTTTTTTAAACTGCCCAGTTTAAGTTACATGCCTAGAATTCCATTGTAATCTCCCATCCAAGTATGAACCAGAGTCAACTCTGTTTAGTTTCTAAATCAAAACAAAAGTTGGGCAATTATTGCCACCTACTACTGTGAGACATTTTTCTGGGCTGCATACTACAGCATAAATTGCTAACTAAAGAAGAAGTGGGTGTCAGAGGAAGAGATAGTTAGATACTATCATCAACGCAACAAACATGAATTTGGGCAAATGTTGGGAGACAGTGGAGGCCAAGGGGGCTTGATGTGCTATGGTCCATGGGGTTGCAAAGAGTTAGACACGATTTTATGACTGAACAACAATAATTCTGTCTTCTTTATTGCCAGTTTATCAGAAGAGTATTTGAGCTTCAGGTTTTTTTTCTTAGAATGCTTTTAGTGTAAAAAAAAAAAAAGAATCATTTGCATCTTCTATAGAGATTTTGCACACATTTTTCTAATTTATACAAATACCTATTTCTGAAGAAATGTTTATTTAAAAAAACATAAAATGTCCTGCTTGTCCTTTGACACTTAAATTCTTCAAAGTTTGGCTTTTAAAATATAAATGCCCTCCAATTTATATAAAAGATATATCTGCAGCTATTTGTACACAGTATCAATTAGCATACTTTTGAAAAGATGTTTTTGGATAGATTTTTGATCTGGGAACCATGAAGCCAGTAGACTATACAACAGCAAAGTCTAATTCATAAAAGCATCCAAATTCAGAAACTCATCAGGGAATAATAAATAATGGTGTGCTTTGATGTCATTTTGCCATTATAAAGTCTGACAGAAACAAAGCATACAAATTTACTTCCAATGGAATAAATAGTGATTGTTTTTATATATCTTTAAGGTCACCTGTCCCTATCAATTGATCTGTGATTTCTTTTTATTCCCTGATAATTCCACTGCTAACCAATGATAGCAATAATTGCCAGAAGGTGCCGATAATCAAAATAAACAAAAATTAAAGTGCCAAAGTAACCATAATTATTTATTTAAAGATTTGCACTCCATATTTGGATAAAATTGATTAAAAAAACATGAACATCCATGTGTTTATAAATATATATGGCAAATGTTATATCAAACACACATAGAGTAAATCTATTGTACACCATAAATCTTTCCACTTCTTTTAATTATAAAAGATATATTTTCTCCCTAAATAAAAGGAAGATGTTTTATTTTTTATTAAAAGCCAAGATAAACAGACCAAAGCAGAGGAACACATTAAAAGATATTTGTTACAAAAACAGTGATTGAAGCATTTGGCATTAAGGAATTTCTTATCATTCCATCATGAATTCAGTTGGGAATTAATCCAGGACTTTCTTGGTAGCAGGTCCATAGTAGATCTCTCTCAGGACAAATGGTAGTCAGAAAGGATCAGTGAATCTATAAACTACACAATACAGTATGAACTAAGCCATGTTGCATAGTTGCATAGATATGATTTATAGACTGGGTACAACTTTTCAAGTACTCTTGAAGCACGCATCGGTTCATTTTCACTGTTTCCATTATGGGTGTTAAAGCTAATCTGAATAGGGTTTCAGGTGTCTGTTGCACAATAATGTTTTAAATAGTATTCCAGTCATAGTCCAAACTGAGGGAACTGTGGTTAATTTGAGGATGAAGTGGTGGCTCTCTTCCTGTTTCCTCCTCTGCATTCTGGAAACATCTAGAATTGTTCATTTCAAAAGAAATATATGCCAATTGAGTATCATTCAAGCCAGTAGGTCGAAATAAAAGAGAACTATGAGGATGCTGACAAAAATATAAAAAAGAAACAGGTGCATGTTAAATATTCATTGTTTAACAAGTGTTTTTGGTTGCTCACTGGGATTTCTCTTTCTCTATATAAGTCTAAATGTTATTGCTATTGCTACTTCCTTCTTTCCTTCCTTTCTTTCCTTCCTTCCTTCCTTCCTTCCTTCCTTCCTTCCTTCCTTTCTTTCCTTCCTTCCTTCCTTCCTTCCTTTTTTTCTTTCTTTCTCTGCCAACTGTTTCTACCACATATTCTTGCTGAAAAGAAGTAAAAGCCAACCCACGAGGTAAAAAGTTACCCATTCCAAGCAGCCTTATAATATTTGATTGGTGCCAATCTTGAAAGAGAACTTGTGATTAGACTTGAACATTGCTACTGATGCAGTAGCAATTTCATTGATTAGATGCAAATTTATTTTGGTGGGCTTTGACTCATAATTCACACCATGTGGAGCACCTTTCCTGCACAGTCTATTAATTTTGAATCCAATTGGAAGAAAGAGAAATCACTTTCAGAGCTTCTTCAAAGGAAAGTTAGAAGATGGTTCAGGTATGAATTCATGTCCTGCATTTTGACATAACATCTTCCAGTGCTGTTTTCCTGACTTCCCGTGCCTATTAAATCCCAAAGAAACACATTAGCAGGCAGCAATGTCTTGGATTTTTGAAAGTAAGACAAGTTGCAAAATGATAGAATGCTAACTAATAAGGGATAAAAAAATTTAAAGAACAGTACCAACATACTCTAGTCAGTAAACTCAAAATTCCAATTAAAAAAAATTGAATTTGAAAGGATAGTGAGATATAGTGGTGAAGATGTTAGATTGGCAATAGGGAGATGTAGAGTTTAGTGCATCCTCAGCCTCAGAAATTCTCTTGTGCCTTTGGGCCAGCCCAATCTACCTCTCACAGGGTGATTCTTGTTGGGGGTGGGGGGAATAGGAAGAAGGAGTGCTTGGAAGGCCTGAACTCCTGAATAAGAGACAGCAGGATGCTTCACAAATAAACGTTTAGGGAAAAATTCTTAGGGGAAATTGGAAGACATTTCAGCCTATATTATTGTTAAACAAAGTCCAATGGAAAATAAACAGCATTCAGTGAGGTTATAGACTGCACCAGGGGTCTTCAAACTTGGTCCTTTTATGACTTGTGGACTTCAACTCCCAGAATGCCTCAGCCAGGCATGCTGGCTGAGGAATTCTGGGAGTTGAAGACCACAAGTCATAAAAGGAGGACCAAGTTTGAAGACCCCTGGACTACACAGAGTGGCCCAGGAGATATGAATTCTAGAGAAACAAGTTAGTTGTAACTGACTTAAACAATGTGGCCATCTTCAGGACTCGGGTTTCAAAACTGTGTCTATTTCATTGGGATAAATCCCATTAAACAATATAAGACCAACTGCAAATCAAACCACTGTGTGATCATATTTGTATTAGTCTGACACTTTGGGGTATTGTCTACACTGATGGTTATTTTTTTGCAGCCAAAATCCCACCGCTGATGAAATTCTGTCTTGGGCTCAGAATTTTGACAGGATGATGAAAACACCAGCCGGTAGGAATATTTTCAGAGAATTTCTTCGAACAGAGTATAGCGAAGAGAACCTCCTATTCTGGTTAGCATGTGAAGATCTGAAAAAAGAACAGAACAAGGATGCTATTGAAGAAAAAGCCAGACTTATATACGAAGACTACATCTCTATACTATCGCCAAAAGAGGTAGTCTTTAAAAATCCACCAAAGAATATTGGATGTACACAACGGTCTGTTTGCATGTACAGTGTGATAAATTTAGAACATTCTCGCCACCAGAAATCTGTGAAAAAATGTGACCCATATGATGGATAGAAGGGTGGTATAATGAATAAACTGTTGGGGTAATCCTAGATGTTAAGCTAAAGTTCTAATCTACCTTCAATTATGGAAGTGTGTGTGTGTGTGTGTGTATTTCATATGTCTATGGTAGGATCTTTGCAATGGATCCAGAGTTTCCATGAGCAAAACTATAACGATAAAGCAATTTTCAGCTAATCCTTCCCCCATCTGCCTTTATATCCCCAGAAAACATAATTTCTCATCCTTCCATTTCTTCCCACAGGAGGCACTGTTGATTTTTTTCTACTCGTGACAGGAACCTCTGGATCCAAACAATTCAGATGAATTTATTCTATAGTAAAAGTGTTTAGGAGTGCAGGCTTACATTTTTAATATAATTTCTTCTAGCATCCATTAAGAAATTACTTTGTTCTTTGTTTACTGTAGCATAGCATTAATTACCTACACTGATGTCTTTATAGATTCTCAATTATCCAGGCCATTGTTATCCCAACGTGCTTTTTCCAAAGGGAACTAGACTTTCTTGTTTTTTTCTTTGAAAAGATTTCACTTCTCATCCAAGAAACTTCTTGTTAGAACTGAAGAAGCTTCTTGTATGAGAAGCGAAATGCTTTCAGAAACAAAACAAAACAAGAAAGTCTAGTTCCCTTTGGAAAAAGCATCTTTGGGACTACTTACACTGACATTAAACATATGTAGCAGATTTAACTCACTTAGTAAAGATTGTATAAGATGAACTAGCATTGTTTTAATTTTCACATTTCAAAATCATTGCTTCATTGTCTTCAAATGAATAGTAGGTTTGTTTTTGTTTCATTTATGATTTCACTGAAATTTTTAGAACCTAAAATATGGTATTTGGTACCAAGGCAAATATAAACATTTTCCCAGTTACAAATGTGATTTGATTTTGATGCCAATATGTTTTCTACATATGTCCTGGACCTAAAGAATATCATATTTAACATCAGTTTGTAATGACATTACACTAAGGCAAATATCTCTCTAAACCAGACAAGCTAAATTTATAGACTTAATTTTGGTTTCATTGGTTGGAAAAAACCCTGGAGAATACGTATGGCATACCAGCTGTAATTGGTTTATTTAGATAATTCTTTATAGGTAAAGTCCCAGTAAGTCCAGTTGTACTTAAACTGAAAATAGGCTGATTAACCCGCATAAGTTCTTCAAGGTGAAAAATTCACTGTCTTTTCTTCTCCTCCTTAGGTTAGCTTAGATTCACGGGTGCGAGAGGTGATCAACAGAAATTTGTTGGACCCCAACTCTCAAATGTATGAAGATGCTCAACTTCAAATCTACACATTAATGCACAGAGACTCTTTCCCTAGGTTTTTGAACTCTCAGATCTATAAATCTCTTCTCGAAAGTACAAGGAGCTCTACTTCTGAGACTTAAAAAATAATTTGGGGATTTGAAATCTTGATTTAGCTTTCGGGGAAATGGGTGGGGTAAGGACTATTAGGATGAAGACAGACGTAACATTTTTAAAGTGACAGGGCTGCTCTGGAAGCACCTTCACCGCATTTAGTCCAAAATGTACCCTTCCCCTCCAGAGTCAAGCTCTGGAAAAAACGGTCCTGCTCCTTGAGGCAGAGGCTGGCTGTGCATGGTGCTGATTTGTGGAGCCCCATCCCCACCCCCATGATGTCACCAAGAAACCTCCCCTGCAATAGCAGGAACAATTTTGCACTTTAAGAAGAGTTTCCTTTTTAAATGAAGAAGGCAGGAAATGAACAGATACATGGCCTAGCGTTCATCCATCCTTTTGTTTTGGGTGGACTGGGGCAGGGAGAGTGACAAGACTGGAAAGCGTGCCAGTTTTTCAATTCGTTGTTCTTCATGGCTGCCATTTCAGCTGCCGATTCTGATGGGAAGATGGGCTCATCCAGAGCTGAGGGATGAACTGAGAGCTCTCTTTTTATATTACATCTGTCTTCACCTTAGTAGTTCAATAACATCTGGAACTGGAGTTCCTGGAGAACTACAGTTTGGCACTACTCTGGCTACTGTGAAGCAAACAAATACACGCAAAGGTCTTTATCTACATTTATCAAGGTCTATCATTCTTGATTTTGGAAGGGAGGGATTTGCCAAATCAGACTTAGCCACACACTTTTACACCTGCAGTTAAGATTGCAATGATGTTCTTGTCATTTTAATGAAGAGTTTCCTTGTGTATCCTCACACTGCATGTGCAAAGCAAAACTGCTTCACTTTATCACTTAGTTGTTGCAATATTTAATCCAACAACATAAATTATATCTATATTTAAGAATATTGTGTGCAATATGGTTTTATGGTACACACGCATAGGGATTGTTGGAGTGAACCAGAGAACAATCTGACTTGGGTTTAGCAATGTTATTCCCCATGTTCTGTGGAGAAAAATCTGTTGCTATATAAGACAGACAACATTTCTATATAAGAAAAACAGCAAGAAGCGAATGTTATTTATCATCATTTATTTAAAATTCAAAACAGAGGATTCCTCTGGTTATTAACTGCCAGAATTGTGGTACTTTCATTACAGAAATGTCAAAACTAACAACAAACATCAAAGCACAAGTTATATGTAAGAAATCAAATGGAGAGACACACTCTCTATAAACTGACATTGTTTATAATTGTTATAAAAACAGATAATCAATGTACATTTCAGATATCAGATACTGTAATGGATTTATTAAAGACTGGCTATCCAGTTATCTAAAATTGTTGTGTAATGTTATGTAATTCACAAAAGAAAAGAAACAAAAAAAATCTTCCATTCCATTCTAGAATCAACTCTAGAAAAAATATGTTTTTAATTTATAATTTTTTTAAAATGTATAAATGTAGCATTTTGGTCAGCACTGGAGACTAGCATTTGTCTATACATTTGCTTTTCTTAAAAGTTCTGTCCTGTGGAAAGAAAAAATTATGTTTTTTAAAGGAAAAGCTAAGAAATCTTCTGGCGTTCCTAATTTTAAAAGGTTCATTTATGGACCAGTGCTGTGGAGATTTAATAAATGTTAAATTCAAATCTACTAGTGCAAAAATAGTGGCAAGAGTTGTTCTTTTTTTCTTTTTCTTTTTAAAGAAACATCTTTCTAAGGACTAGTAAAAATGAAGACAGTATGGTGTCCTCTATTTACCTTGAATTTAATTTGCCAGGGTCAGTCTTTTGCACAAGCCATCCTATAATGCAGTGTTTCTCAACCTTGACAATTTTAAGGGATGTGGACTTCAACTCTCAGAATTCCACAGCCAGCAATGCTGGCTGTGGAATTCTGGGAGTTGAAGTCCACATGCCTTAAAATTGTCAAGGTTGAGAAACACTGCTATAATGAATGTGGATTTAGCCAAGATCAGTTTTTCTCTTGTGAAACTCCCATTTACTGCAAATGTGCAATTGAAAAGTCCCTTGGAAATCCTTTCCTTTGCTGCTAGTTCAGTTTTGTAGTTACCTGACTTTTTTTTAAAAAAAAATCCCAATTTCCATAACTGCTTGCATCTTTAAAAAGAAATAGCAAATTTCTAAGCAAAACAACCAAAAAAACCCCTGTCTTAGAACTTGTTCATTTTAATATTCAGTCTTGAGATTTTCTTTGAAGAATTGTTAAGGTGCCACAAAACAGATACATATTGAAGGTATTATTATGAACTCCAGATTTGATGCTTGGAGACATTCTATAAACTTCTCCCTGAAGTTAACTTCTTGTTGCTGTTAATGATGAAGATATGGTGTTAAACAAATAGAATCAAGTTATTTAATGTTAGCTGCTTGTCTGCAAATTATTCCTGAGTTCATCTACATCATAATGTGGATGTATTCACTAAGCATGCCGAGTCTCATTCATTGAAGGGGAAATTTTGCTGGAGCAAAGTTGTGAATTTTGCCCTCTGAGGTTGCAGTGGCCAAAGAAAGTAATATATAAGATGACATTAAGCACTGGATTGTTCATTCTAGTCCTAAGCATCTGTGCCAGCAGTGCCCCTCCCCCCCACATGCTTTCACAATACTGGAATCTCTTGACCATCTAGTGTCAGTAAAAGTCCTTTGTTGCCAGTAATTATGCCATTCATTTATTTTGGAAGGGATTCATTCTTTTTCTCTTTCACTACCTCTTCATATTTAATTTATTGAACATGTGTCAAAGGGCAGAAGTATGTTTGGGAATATACTTATTACTTTACATACAATACTTGAAATCTGTAAGCTTAAGAGGCGTGGTGGGGGAGATGTGGACAATTTAGCTAACCATTTCTTAAGATCTTTTGGTTTTGTAATTTATACAGAATTCAGGAGACAAGACTTTTGTAAACAAAAAAAGGGCTATTCTTTATTCCCTATGCAACTCTTTTAACTGTTGTAGTGTTTGACAAAATGGGATTTTAAAAAAAAGGCAAAAAAGCAAGAGAAAATTCTGCAAAGCAGGAAAAATAAAAGGTCTGTTTACACTGGCGTTTGCTGACTATCCTACCATACTCAGCACTTTTAAATATTGTTGTGTATGAAAATGTAGTTTAAAATGCAAGACAAATTATTTATAAAGGACATTCTTTTAATAAATATCTGTTTTATCTGAAAAGTGTTATTGTGTTATGATATACTTTATTCATGTTGGTTATTAATTTACCATTATGAATAAATTTTAAAGGTATATTGATAGAATTATATCTTTGAAGACGTTTACAAAAACAATCTTTTTTTTCTAAAGGAGAAGGTAGCAAGAAAAGAAAAGAAAAAAGCAAACAACTGCCTCCTCCTACTGTGAATTTCTCATAATGAAATAATTTAAGGCTCATTATCTGAAATAACTGTGGTATTACATATTTATAACACCACAGTAAAAGTTACATTTCCTATGAAACTCTGCATATATATCTCTGTATATATTTATATGATGTGGATTCTGGTTTATTATGGTGTTTGAGACACAGCTATCTCTGGTGCACACAACTAGGTCTATGTAATTAGAGAATATCGCATGTATTCAACTTTCAATATTGAGACTTCATATTTTCAATGTTACTATTTGATGGTGACCTATTAACCAGAAGCTATCTTTATAAGATACTTTTACTACAGTAAGGGAGATGTCAGTTTGACAGGACACCTTTCCTGAGGAACTTTAACCAAATATAAATGTGAGGGTCTGCCAATAGCACTTAGAATTATAGTACTAGACTTCCTTTTATGAGTATTTGATCATGATATAGGAGGGGAAATAAGATGTTACGTTTAAACTGTTTCTGAAATTACTAAGTGTGTTTTTGCAGTGAGACTATGTTACCATAAGAGCCTAAATCCTGAATTTTACTGGATTTATAGGTTGGCCTATTGAGCACTCTGTATTGTATATGTTCTTCCTAGGAATGAATGTATATTTTAAATCCATCTTGGAAATATACATACACACCCACACCACATAACCCTTGTGTCATTTAAAGAGATATGAAAACAAAGGTGGTTGTTGATGTCAACTTTCTGCAACTAAGAGGAATAGCCAAATTTATCTCATTCCACTTTTGCATACCTCAGTTTTCAGTTCTCTGAAAGTAATATTGACAGTGTTTAGAATGACAACATAATCTCACTGCTCTCAGTCAATTTGCAACATATGAGCAGCCAATGATTACACTTCTAAAATTATTATTGTGCATGTACTATACAATACTTTTAATATAAATGAATTGCTTAATTATACTTACCACAGGCAGAAATAGATTGAAGATGTATTTACTTCCTGTTTTGGGATTTTAATGAGATCACAAATATAAAAAATAAATATAATGCTTTTGATTAACAGATCATTGTGACTAAGTTATATGTACAAGTGGTCATGAAAATGTCGTTCAAGTCTCTCAGTCATCCAAGTGCAGTTGGTGTTTCTACAAGCTATAACAACATTGTCTTTTCCCATGTCTTTCTGATGGGCCCTTAACCCACAAACAAGGATTTTCATGGACATCATGGGGAAGGGAAATTTCTGGTCAGTAAAATTGGGGCCTAAGTTGTAATTGCTCTCTTCCTCCATACTGATACACTTCATATCATATTTCTTCTCTTGCTAAATAATCATTCTGTTGTTACTAGATAAATAAATCTTCCATCAACTTTTCTGTGGGTGTGGAGCAGACATTATTTTGTTTATTAATATCAATTAATTGAAGGTTTCCAATCCACCCCAATTATAAAAGAAGGAAAATGACATGCCCAGTGTTAGTATGATTCAACATAATTGCCATATATCAACAGGACAGCAATAAACCTACTTGTTGCTTATACAAGAGTTAAGGTATCAGTTAATCCTTTAATGAATTCATGCTGTCAGGAAAGTCTTCAGTTAAGGGGAAAAATATGAACCTTTGCAAGAATTAAAGATTACAGTTTTAATATGAACTGGAATGATGTGTTACTGACTGATCGTTAAGCAAATAGATTCTGTATTGTTAAGATGAGAAGTCCATGGACATGTCCATGAAGTTATCAGGAATCATATTCCAACTGGGTTATGAAAATGAATGAAATCTTTTTAGAATGCATTCTTTCTTTTAACCACAATCCTTATAGCAGTGAGGTGCTATTGCAAGATAAGAAGTTATACTGTTTGTGGAATATGCAATTTCTTGAGAGTAAGGGGTGGGTGACTCTTTTTTTAGTTTTGTGTGTCATCTGCACTCTCATAGAAGAGCTGCCATTGGGGAGGGCTGCCCAGTCATAAGGCCAGTCACAAAAGCAGGGGTAACCATCCTTGGAAACTTCTAAGACCTGTGGACTTCAATTCATGCTTCATGCTGACTAGGGAATTCTGGGAATTGAAGTCCACAGTCTTAAAGTTGCCAAGGTTGGACACCCCTGCTTTAGAAGGCAAACTACGGTAATGAAGCTGCTCCCTGTCACCTCTTCTTATATAGTTTTATCCTTTTTTCTGGTCAAACATATACTTCCAAATAATGCACTGGGCTGTAGCCACCCAACATTTTTTATCTTTTAAGATATAACAGGCCTCCCATATGCCAGGTGCTTTGCTGTGCCCATCCCAGATTTCTGATCCTTCATTCCTTTTTTAATTAAAAAGATCTTATAACAATTAAATCAGATGGATGAGGGAGTCTGAGGAATGACAATACAAATCTTTGCTGGCACCCTGCTGTCCCCTTCTGTCCTAGAGCTAGGCTCATACACTGCAGAACAAGCTATTTGGGCTAATGTGTTCCCAAGACCAAATGTTGCTACTTCCATTTGATTTAATAGGACAGAAGCAGGAAAATACTGAATGCAATGTCAAGTACCTTCTGAGACAACCTCAGTGTTGAGTCCTTGGTGAAAAGCAGACACGAGAAGCAGTTGTAGTTCTCAGGTTTTCTTTTATTCTGTGTTCAGCTTACAGGTGAAGGCTTCAGCAACGCCCAAAAGCTCCCAGCTTCTTATATAGGCAATTCCCGGGTCAATGTGTTACTTTTCCCGCGCCAGCACCCGCGCATGCGCACAGGCGCTGGCGACAGCCTGTCTGGTCCCGGGCAGCTTGCACCTGCCCGGGACTGCCTGCAAACGCCCCGAGCCCGTTTGCAAGGCTCGGGACATAACACCCCTTTCCCCCGGGCTAAGACTACTACCAACATACAATTATTTCTTGATGCAGTGTTCTACTCCCCAGTGCTCCTACTGTTTACTGGCTTTTGTTTAGCCAGCAATGTTATGTAATCCTCTAAGTACTTAGGAGATTTCCTTGCTCTCTGTGACCTTCTCAGCTCTGGGTTTCTGACAGGTGTTCCCTGACTGAGGGGAGACGTGAGCCTGTTCTCCTTATCATGCCTTGGTGCCTTCCAAGGACTGTGCCCCAATGCCTGGCCTGCTTGCTTGCCCACCGGGCTCGTCAGGCCAGGGCTTCTGTCACTTTGTGACCTGGTTGACCCGCCTAGCTGTAGGCCCTCGGGCCCCTTGAAGTGATAGCCACTGCTGGGCGTCTCTGTAGAACCTCCTAGGTCCGTCCAAGACCTGTCAGGAGGCTGTCCATCCCCTAAGCCCCGTTCTGTGTCCGGGCTTGTGTGGGTTTCTGTGCCTTCCCAAAACTCAGTTACTCCCTGATTTGGGCTAGAGGTGTTATGGTCGGGACTTGGTTCCTCGACCACCTCCCTGTATGTTTGACCCCCTGTAGGACTTGGGGTAAGGTCAGGCCAACTCTGGGGATTATGTGCCAGCTCTCTTGCGGGGTATGCTTTATTGGGACGCTCCCGGGTATCCTCCCTGACTGGAGTGCTATGTGGTGTAGATGGATAGTGATTGTGCCCCCGGGGTGACTCCCTGGCTGGAATAGGCGTGAATGCCTGATGATTGGGTAAGCCCCATGAATTCCTGTTTGGGGCACTCGCAGAATCTTGGAATGGGCCGTTTGTGGCTCCATCATTGGAGGTGGGCAGCAGCTCATGCCCTTCCCTTTGCTCCAAAGGGTCCCCCTCCCCCCCTGGAAAAGACCCAGGAGTCTCAGCTGGAAGATCCTGCCTAGGGCGGAGTTGGTCGATGTGCCGGCGCAGGACACGACCGTTGTCCAGGGCTACCTCATAGGATAGAGGACCTGTGACCCTGGAAATAGAAGCGGGGACCCATGTATGACCAGGCCCGTAATTGCGAGTCCAAACCGGGGCACCCACAAGTAGTTGTCTAGGTGCCCTAGGATGTGAGGTAGATGAAGGCAGTCTGTCCGGATGCAACCGGTCAAGCTTCGTAGTAAGTTTGCGCCCCCAGCGAAGTTCAGCTGGGCTTCTCCCTGTAGAAGTGGACGGTGTGGTGCGGTAAGAAAGGAGAAAGTCAGCCAACCTGTGATGCCAGTCCCCATAGGTGAGTCTTTTCAAGGCGTCCTGGCCGCAGACACAAAGCAGGGTGGCAGCCTTCAAGCTATCTTCCCTCACTTGGTTCACCTTGAGGTAGTTTTCCACCCTGGCTACGTAGGAGTCCCACCGCTCTGGATGTGAGACGTCGAACTCCGAAAGCCTTCCAACCTTTGCCATCTTCAGGAGACGGGTCTATCAGCCAGCCTACCCCCGAATGCGCACTGGATTGGCGGGTAGCTGCCGAGTCAACTCCGTTCCGCCGCTCAGGACTCATTTGGGTAAGCTTACACCTCTTCCTTTCCAGACGATGTAAGGCATCCCACCTTCGTCGCCAGTGTTGAGTCCTTGACAAAAAGCAGACACGAGAAGCATTGTAGTTCTCAGGTTTTCTTTTATTCTGTGTTCAGCTTACAGGTGAAGGCTTCAGCAATGCCCAAAAGCTCCCAGCTTCTTATATAGGCAATTCCCGGGTCAATGTGTTACTTTTCCCGCACCAGCACCCGCGCATGCGCACAGGCGCTGGCGACAGCCTGTCTGGTCCCGGGCAGCTTGCACCTGCCCGGGACTGCCTGCAAACGCCCTGAGCCCATTTGCAAGGCTGGGACATAACACTCAGCTCCTTGTTATTTCACAGCCTGACCAAGATAGTTTTCTTGGCAGGAATACATCTATCTATCTATCTATCTATCTATCTATCTATCTATCTATCTATCTATCTATCTATCTATCTATCTATCTATCTATCTTAGTTTATTTGCTGACCATCTCATAGTTGAAGGCGAATCTTTAAATCAAACTTAGTTTTTATTTATTGAATATATATCCTGCCTTTTGTACATGAGCTTATGATGGCATAGGTAGTGCCCTCTCCTCCTGTTTGTCCCCACAACAATAATCCTAGGAGCTGGGCTGGGTTGAGAGAGATGACTGGCCCAATGTCACCTAGTGATCTTCTGTGGCTGAGGATATGAATTCTGTCCACTTAGGCAGCAGTCCTTCTGGCATCCAAGAGACCTATCCGAAAGACCACAAACCCAAACAGATTTCTTTGTGTTTGGAGACACAACTTCACTCTTGGGTATCAGAAACTATCCCTTGTCTACAGCCCCTTTAATAATAATTGGGAGATAGAAAGATTAAGAAGCTTAAGCAGTTGTCTGGCATGTTGCAGTGATTCCTTCTTTTTGAAAGAATCTTTTCAAGTTCACCCCTGGTTTCTTTTACCTGGGCCTCTCCATTCAAGGAAAATTCTAAACAAGCTAGCAAGAGGGCATAAATTATTTCCAATGATTCTATTCCTTGCAATTATCACTTGGAGGGAAAATCAGTTCCCAGGAGGGAATAAGAAATGCCTCTCCATAGAGCAGTGTTTCTCAACCTTGACAATTTTAAGGCACGTGGACTTCAACTCCCAGAATTCCACAGCCAGCAATGCTGGCTGTGGAATTCTAAGAGTTGAAGTCCACATGCCTTAAAATTGTCAAGGTTGAGAAACACTGCCATAGAGACTTTCACCTGCTGGTCTGTAAACAGCAGAGCACTTGTTTCCTCAGGAGCTCTGATACTGAGCCTTTCTTGAAATTACTCTGTAAATGTTTACTGACCAAATTAGAAATCCAAATTACTTTATACACATCATGTAATCTGCTCCCATGGGGATTAAACAAGCTCAGAGTTCTCAATAGTGCATCAGAAATAAATGGCTATTAAACTAATCCTCTCTAAATTTGGGAGGTAACCAATCTAAATTCATACATGAAGTTTCTTTAAATTGTTCATATAAAAGGGACTGATAAAATTAATTCTTCCAAATGATTATAGTTTAGGATTGCCTAGCACAGAATTACAGATAACAACACTCAAAACTATAAACCTGTAGGTTAAATACACTGCATTCTTATCACACTTTCTCCAAAGTAAATATGTCCTGAACTGCACAATTTGCTTAAGTCCATCAGACTTTTTGCAATAAGCAAAGAAAAAGCCTTGAAGTTGGAAGAATTACTCAGAAAAAAAACTTGCATCCTAAGTTCTGTAAACATCTGTTTCATACTAAACAGGATGAATAATGCAAGGTTCTTGTGTTATCCCCGAACTCAACAGCAGAGTTCCAAACAATTGCTGTTTGATTTCCCTCAGATTTTCAGCAGGAAATGAAAAAAAAAAAGTGTCACCTTAAAGATTTAAGGGTCTTCCTGCAAAGGGCCCCTGCTTCCACTCTTGAGACAGAAGGAAAGTAGAAAATGGTTATAGTTCTTTTGCCAGATCTGGAAAACATGATCAGCAAACTTGCTGCCCTCACATGAAACCGTTGGTTTCTGCAGCAACTATTGGGAAAGTGGGTAGAAAAGGGGGCAATCAAATCTAGTAGTAGTAATGCTGACCTTGTGAAATATCTTCCATGAGGTCAGTAATCATAAAAAGGAAACAAAATATTGACTGCTGGACAAGGCTGTCTTCTCTGATAGAAATGCTCACAGAGCTTCATGGTTGGATGAGAGGAGGCAGGCCTGTGGCAGGCCTAGTAGAGCCATGTATGTGCTTGATCTTCATTATGCTCTGTTCCCTGCAAATCAGAATGTACGCAGAAAGGAAGGCATGCTCCATTCAGTTGGAAAGCACTAGTTCCCTAACAGATCAGTCTGATCCAGCTTCCTAACCAGAAGAATGGCCCAAGTAGAAGCTCCAATGTGAGAACATGTCCTCAATAACAGGTAAGCTGACCACTTTGGAACCCTGCAGGTGAGACCTTAGTTTACACAAACACTTTTGGAGGGCCAATATACTTTAGCAGACACACAGAATAGAGAGCTGAGAAATAAACTATCATTGAGAGGGGTGGAGAAGCACAAGATCTGCCCTTGGAGGCCACTGAAGACCATTAGGAAACTTCAACTTCAGAATGGAGCTGCACAAGTAGTCACAGGTACGATATATGGCACAGGTAACACAACTCCTGCATGAGTTTCGCTGGTTACCAGTGGGTTTCTGGTGCAATTCAGGGTGCTGGTGGTCACCTACAAAGTCCTATGTGGCTGCGGACCAGGGTACCTGAGGGATCGCCTTTTTTCCAAAGTTTCTACCCTCCAACGAGATCAAATAGAATGAGCATTCTGTCAGCTACAGAATGTCGACTGAGCGGGACTAGAAGACAAACTTTTTCTGCAGCAGCCCCTGCTCTGTGGAACATCCTCCCATCGGAAATTAGAATAGCCCCAACCTTCTTAAGTCTTCCGTAAATCTTTAAAGGGCTACCTACAGTATGCTCCCAAGGCTGGGGTAAAACATAGGCCATATTGGCTCCTGGCTATATTGTTAATAGGCTACATGTCTTACTTCGTATATACTTGAATTAGACATTTTAATGTTTTTGTTTTAATAGTTTTTACTGTTTTTATTGATTTAAAATGTTTTAAAGATTTTAATTGTACCATGATTTTGAATTGTGAGCTGTCCAGAGTCATTTACTGAGATGGGCGGCTATGGAAATCAAATAAATACATCTCTAACGAGGATTAAAAATGTAAGACCACATGAAGTTTCCCTTCCCTCCAATATTAAAGCCTTCCAACAGAGAGGACATATTCCCTTTAAATTTATTCCTCTAGTGTCACTGTTTGTTTGATTTAGAAAAGGTTATTGGTCACCGTGTAATTTAATTAGGCATTCCACTGTACCCAGCTGTTTCCCAATACGGAGATGATGATCATAATGTACTAATTAAACATACTTCTATGTCTCTGGCATCAGTGCAGACTTCCCATGGCTTATGTAGAACCAATAAAAGTTGAAACATCCATGATAACATTAACACAACCACTACAACAATATGAAACTGAAAACCATGCCATATAAGCCCAGATAAGATCTATTAGAAGGGCCTAATGCTGGGAAAGATTGAGGGCAATAGAAGAAGGGGACGACAGAGAATGAGATGGCTGGATGGAATCACTGAAGCAGTAGGTGTGAATTTAAATGGACTCCAGAAGATGGTAGAGGACAGGAACGTTGTCCATGGGGTCGCGATGGGTCGGACACGACTTCGCAATTAACAACAACAACAAAGATCTATTAAAGGAGAGTTGGCAGCAGCAGTCCCATCAGGGAAAGTTCTCTGAAACAGTTTGGCTTTTGTGAGTTTCTGAAAAACCAGCATACAAGGATGCCTACGTGCAGTTGTGGAAAAGTCTAATTCAAGCTCTAGTCCAAAAGTCCCCACGCCACGTAGCTTCAGCATTTATCCCACTACGCTCCCTTCCCACTCATCCGAGCCCGAATAAAGCCAGCGCATTTCCAATTATTGCCGAGCTACCTTCGGCAATTTCCGGCCTTAGCCGCAATGCTTCGAGCCGGGATTACGAGCGTAAGCAAGGACCAATTAGCCCGACTCTTAGCTTGTTGGTTTTTGTTTTTTTTTCTGGATTCTTAAATGAATTGGAATAACAAGGAGAGATGGTGATAACACCAAACATTATACCATGCTCACAAGCGAGCAAATCATCATCTTAACAAGGGGCAAATGCTCCCTCTTTTGTGATATGAAAATGCCCCGCATAGAAACACGAACTAGAACCTGAACTAACTCTCGCCCTTATCTATTTTGCATTTGTTGGCATTTATCAGAGAGCGCGGAGGAAAGAACGGCCACTTCCGGAAGGCATTGCTCTAGAGATCGGAAGCGGAATCTCGGCGCTGAGTTGACCCCGGCATGTGGTGGTGCTTCGGCCGCAGTCTGCCGGCCTGGCGGAAGTTCGTCGTTTCTTTTCCCTGGTTGTCCGCCGCCCGTTCGCGATGCCGCGGGCAAGAGCTGTCGCGACGCTGGCTCAGCAGCCAGCCGGACTTGCGCGAGTTGTTCGCGAGACCGGCGCTTCAGCGCTTCCTGGACCAGCATTCCCGGGCAGATGAGCAACTTGGCGGCTTCCGCTCGGCATTGGCAGCGCGGATTCGCCTCTTGAGAGACAAGGAAGAGGAGCTGCGTGAGACGGAGCGCTTGGCGCGAGAAGGTGAGACGTCTCCACCTGACGGACTGTCGCCTGATGGCGAATTGGAACAGGACCGTGCGCGCTAGGTGACAGCAGCCAGCCCAACCCAGCCCACCTTGCAGGGACGCGTGTAAAGTGCTGGGCTTAATACTTTTCAAGTCCACTCAGTGTTGATTATTCATGTGCTATCAAGTTGGTGTCGATTCAGTCCCCACATAAAAAGATTTTCTCCCTGAGCACCTGTCCCTAACCTGGTTTCCATATTCTTTCACTGCAGGGGCTGGATGATGATTTTTTTTCTTTATGTAGCTATAATGCATGATAATGTAATAAAGCGCTAACCCCTAAATTCTGTTTGACCATTCAATAAAGATGAACGTTCCTATGAAACTCAAGATTTGTATTTTATTATGTAGTGATTTCTAGCTACCCTGCTCCTGGCTATTTAGTGCCCTAGTTCCAAACGGTTAAAAACATTGAATTGTTATGCTGCTTTATCAGCAATTTAGAGAAAAAAGTGCAATAAGTGGAACTCTAAACCTGTGAATAAACATTAATCAGATAATCTGGTCTGGTTTATTCTAAATTTTTAGAATAAAAATCTGAGACAGGTTTCTGAATTAAGTTCTAGTCCATTACAGGTAATCTTTGACTTAAGACTGCAGTTGAGTCCAAAATTTCATTACTAAGCAAAAAAGAGTTGTTAAGAGAGTTTTGCCCCATTTTATGACCTTTCTTGACAGAGTTGCTAAGTGAATCACTGTAGTTGTTAAGTTAATAACGTGGTTAAGTGAATCTAGCTTCCTCATTGACTTTGTCAGAAGGTTGCAAAAGCGATCACATGATCTTGGTGCACAGCAATTGTCATAAATACATGCCAGTTGCCAAGCCTCCAAATTTTGATCACATGACCATGGGGATGCTTAAGGGTGAAAAATGGTCCTAAGTCACCTTTTTCAATGCCATTGTAACTTTGAACTGTCACTAAATGAGTCGAGGACTAGCTATACCTTCTATACTTGTGGTTGATATCTGGACGGGAGAAGAGTTAGAAATACTAAATAACCAAGAAAGCGGAAAGGAATTGTGAGCCAGAGAGAAAAGATTAATAGTATTATGATACTTGTGTGCTGTCTTATTCTAGATGAAAACGAAGATTTGCGGAAGCTTGCAGAAAAGGAAGTTATTTCCTGTCAGGAAGAGATAGAAGAATTGAGACATCAGGTACATTACTCATTGAAGTATGATATTTAAATTCAAGAGTAACTTGATAAAGAGATTGTCAAATGTTATTATTTTGCCGTCTTTCTCTGCTGCCCCACTTCATTTCATGTTCCCCCCCCCCCCACATACTGCTAATTTCGGTTATTTTCAGGATTTAATTTCAGGGGAGAATCCCACGAATCTGCAATATTTTTTTTGTTATGAATAGAAGAGAATATGTGCAGGTTAGGAGTGAACTGTTGAGTTCTTGATGCTTTCTGAGCTTAGTTGGTTTCTTGAAGATATTTTATTACCAGGCTACAGTTTCAATGAGTTGGGAGCTATTTGATATTGAAACTCATGTATACTTGGCTGATCTAAATCAATTCATCAACTAACACTAAGCAACTGTACTGCAGGTGTATCCATTGGATTTAGGGAAAAAGTATTGAACGTTTGTAATATATTACATAATTTTTAAAATATAGGTACTGGTACTTTTTTTTATTTCAGCCCACTCCAGGAAGCATTCCTTGCTGAGGGAAATTTTACTTAAATAAAAAAAGGCATTTTTTATGTATTTCAGATAGTATCACTTTTGATTCCTTCAGAGAAAACTGACAAAAATGATCTTGTCATAGAGGTGACTGCTGGAGTTGGAGGGCTGGAAGCAATGTTGTTCACTGCTGAGATGTTTGATATGTATGAACAGTATGCGGCATATAAAAATTGGACTTTTGATATTCTGACATATGCTTCCAGTGTTATAGGCAAGTAATCTTTTGAAATTCTGGCATGTATTTCCAGTATTATCAGCAAGTTGTCTTGGATTAACAAAAGAAATTCCTTAACTCTATAGTGTGAAACAGAGAATGAAGATTCCTATGTTCAGTATTCTTTCGGGGGGGGGGGTTATTTCAGTGCAGTTGTTTTAGAGACACTTTGAGCGCCAAAGAATTGAGGCCTTTGAACTATGGTGCTGGAGAAGACTCCTACGAGTCCCTTGGACTGCAAGGCGTTCAAACCGGTCAGTCCTAGAAGAGATCAACCCCGACTACTCTTTAGAAGGCCAGATCCTGAAGTTGAAACTCAAATACTTTGGCCACCTAATGAGAAGGAAGGACTCACTGGAGAAGGGCCTAATGCTGGGAAAGATTGAGGGCAATAGAAGAAGGGACGACAGAGAATGAGATGGCTGGATGGAGTCACTGAAGCAGTAGGTGTGAACTTAAATGGACTCCAGAAGATGGTAGAGGACAGGAAGACCTGGAGGAACATTGTCCATGGGGTCGCGATGGGTCGGACACAACTTCGCAATTAACAACAACAACAAAGAGTATCTCTAAAGATACTCAAGACACTCACTTAAGAATGAGTGCTAGAGGTATGTCATGCAGTGGCATATATTTTAATTTGATGTTGCCTTTCTCCTGGTAACTCACAATATAAGCACAACAGAATAAATAAAAATACATAAGGAAAATAAACAAAATAGCAAATCCAAATGCACCCTACCACAAGGCTTGGGAGAACAGTGCTTGTATTTCTCCTCTTCATCAATGAATGAGCCCCTACCATTTGCCATGTTTAATTATTCAGCTATCTTTCTGCTAACCTTTATTGATTGCTGATAAATGGCAATTATTCCTGATGTAATAACATCAATGTTATCAATGCTAGTACATCAATGTTTTGTCTTTAAACTGGGGTGACATTTTAATCAGTTCATCATAATATACTAGGACTTGTTCATTTTCTAATCTGTGTATTATGTGAGCAGTTTATATTAAGGTAGAAATATATTTTATTAATATTCCATAAAAAGGAGCTTTAACAAGGCTAAGCAGAATTATTTACTGAAAAAAAGGATTAATTGGATATGTTCTTTATTACTCAATGTTTTTTGTTCTTTTAATCAAGTTTTTATATTTTAATTATATTGCTTTTTTCTGCACTGATTTAGGATGTTTCAATATAAATGTCATCTTTGATGCAAATCATATTTTTTTCTCAATTCTCCATCTATCAGCTGGGAATAATTGCCTGGCTTATGGAGATTAATGATAATATAAAGATTATGAAATTAGCTTAAGGTTATGGCTAAATTCCAAGCTGGTATACTTTCATAGTTTTGAAGAAATGGGAAATAAAAACTAGATTTCCTAGTTTGGTATGGTAAAAGAACAAAAGAGACAATGTTATCTAAATGTGTCACCCACAGAAAATTTTAGCATGGGATGTCCCTATTATGTCTTTTCATTGCCAGGTCAGGTAAAATAATCAGTGCAAAGAGTGCAGTTTGCCGACTATTTATATAAATTAGCTTGCCCTGCCAGTCTTGGTGGAATTGTGGCTTCCATTTTTTTTGTTTTGATTAGGGTGTTGTTTCTTAATTGACTGCTTATCTGGTGCTGTTTTAATCTGGGTATTGGCTGCTGGTTGGTAAGATTTATCTATCTGTCTATTGATGGCTGATTCTGGCAGGAATTCTCAAGCAATTTTGAATTTGTGTACCTAAAATATAAACAGCTTCTCAAACTCTGGTTGAGTCCATCCATGAGTTGTGAGGTTAAGGAGTTAACAGTTCATCTTCACCTGTCTGTTCTGTGTAGTGACTGTCATTGTCTTTACATTGTGTGGTGTAGATGACTCCTGTTTTTCTTACTTGGTTTCTCGGTTTACTACATAAGGGCATTGTATATGTGGGAAGGCAGGAAAATGGGAGACATGTAAATGGCATCCATGATCTACATGAAAGTACAACTATTCTTTCTCCATGAATGCCTACATCTGCATGCCCTGCTCACCAGTGTAAAATATAGACCTTGAATAAACTGCAACTGGGTAGATCATAGCTCAACAACAGACACTCATGAACACACACGATAGGTAGACAGACAGACACTCTTTTGTGCTTCTGAATAATGCTTTTAAATAACCTTTTTTTCTGGAGACATACTTTTGCGATTGCTTTTACTGTTTTTTTTTTGTTTTTTTTTTTAAATAAGGTGGTTTAAGACATGCATCTGCCAGTATAAAAGGCCTTGAAGTATATGGACAATTGAAGTTTGAAGGAGGAGTACATCGTGTTCAGCGCGTGCCAAAGACTGAGAAGCAAGGCCGCATTCATACCAGCACAATGACTGTAGCAATATTACCACAGCCGAGTGAGGTATGTGGTTACTATAAGTATTTGGCCCAATCATTCTGCATTCAGATAAGAGGATTCCATTCAATTACACTTTTTTCCCTACTTATTTAGAACGTGAAGACTAAATTAGCATTAATAAAGTCACCAGTCTTACAGCATAAATAATTTATAAAGTTTGTTGAGTTTGGGACAATTTGTAAATTGTTGTTAGAGAATGAGTAAAGTGTTTCTTTCCTGTTCCAGATAACTCTGACAATTAATCCTAAAGACTTATGTATTGAGGCTAAAAGAGCCAGTGGAGCTGGTGGCCAGCATGTGAATACTACTGATAGTGCTGTGCGGATTGTCCATATTCCCTCAGGTATTAGATCAGGACTTTCAAATGAGTTCCTTGTTGTTGTTTTGAAATATGCTGTCATGTTTTATATGATGCTCAGTAACACGATACACACTTCTTAGCCATCAATGTTGTCTACCATTTGGAGTGATGAAGTTATTGGATATAGGACATTTCATTACTATAACATAAGATCTAACCAACCAAGATAAGCTCTGGTGAATACTTGTTCTGAAGATGTGGAAGGACATGGCCTGGAGTCTGTTTCAGTGTTCCAGTTAAGTTTGGGGAATAATAGAGACAAAAAAATCTATGAAAAATATTCTTGCTTTGGAAAGGATGAGATAATATATAACATTAGAGAGTGCTAATTTGAATACACACTATACATATGCTATGTAAAATGAAATTGTACATTTCTAACAGTGCAGTCCAATACATCTTTATGCAGGAATGTGTGTGTATATTCTCTCTCTCTCTCTCTCGTTTATAAGGCAGACAGACTTTTATTTGCAGCCTTCCATCAACAAGCTCTTTCCAATTTTCTCTTTACTTGTACCTATAATACTGTATTCATTTTCTTAGAACTAACAACGTATCATAGATTATATCTTCCACTGCATTCAAACTTACAAAAAGCCATAGAAAAGATCCTTGGCTTCTGGTAGAATATATAGCACATATATAAAAATATATAATAAAATTTGTCATCCTAGTCAATGCCTGTTCTGATTTTGCTACAGCTTCAGTAGGCTATTTATTTCCAAATCCTGGCATCCTGTTCTTAATTTTTTTAAAAAAATAGTATAATAATTCAGTTGTATCATTTAACTAAAAATTGCAAAGTAGTCTTTTTTACTTGTTATAACTTAACATACAAAATAACATTTTTGTTCTTGACATACTTCACATTTTGGGGAGGCCTAACTTCTACATTTCCTTTGTTGTAGGTATAGTATCTGAATGTCAACAAGAAAGATCTCAAATTAGAAATAAAGAAAAAGCTATGGAGCTTCTTCATGCTAAATTATATAGCATCAAACTTGAAGAACAAACAGCAAAGATACATACTGCCAGAAAGATTCAGGTAAAATATACTGCACTGTTTTTCAGATCTAAGGATGTTCTGCTGTAATAACTATAGTTGAATTTGCAGCTGAGGTGGGAGATGGAGTTAAAAAACTGACTAGCTTGGAGTCCTTGCAGAAGAGGAAGCAATGGAATCTTGACTCCCCCCCCCAAAAAAATACCCCCCCCCCCGAAGTGCTTATCTGGTTGTTCTCAAGAGAGTGCAGTTAGTCTAGTGAGATTCTTCTAAATAGGCAAGTAGCAATGAATCTCGGATCAGCTCATGGTGTCATTCTGCTTCCTTGCACCTGACAATACCTGAAGGCAAATCAGCAGTGCACTGATGCACACAGTTTCACTCAAGCTTCAGTTACAGAGAAAAACCAGAACTGGCCAGAGAAACTGATTTGGTAACATCATAAAGAAATAATTGATAATACTATCCATAATTTATTTGCTGTACCTGGTCATAGAGAGGGTCAGTGAGCACGATCTGAAAAGCAGACATCCGCAGACTGCTTTGTTGTGGTGTTGGCTATATTTTGTGGTGTTGGCTAAATCAGCTCATATTGAAAAGACATGGATTGTAATTTAGATAGATGTGGTTGAAACACAAGTGATGCACAGTGAACCCTGAAATGTTAATTAGCATTGGTGGAAGGGAGGGAGGAAAGGAAGGAAAGAGAAAGAAAAGGAAGGAAGGAAGGAAGGAAGGAAGGAAGGAAGGAAGGAAGGAAGGAAGGAAGGAAGGAAGGAAGGAAGGAGTACTTGTGCAGAACAGCGTTCTCCCAAATTGGTGCCCTCCATATATTGGTCTTTCTTTCAAAATTTCTAGCCTACTAGCTGGCTAATCATGAAAATTGTACCTCAAGACATTTTGAGGGAATTTGGGATAGGTTAATTATTTAAACTGTTTAATCTCTATTTCTTTACTTCTCTTCTCCTATCCACTTTATTCGAAATTTCTTCCTACTGAGAAAAAGCATATTTAAAGGGAGATATGTAAAAGAGGTATTATGCATACCTCTAACAATAATTGCCTTTTATGAGTAAATGTAACAAAAGTTCACTAACTCTTCTCCAAATTTCCTGCCCTTTTCTTGAGCAATTTAGACTGGAAGCTCTTCAGAACAATGTATTTATCTTCTGTGTGCTTTTTGTTTATATTGACTGTATATTCATGAATTATTCTTTTCATGGATACACACACACACACACACTAACATTTTGTTGGATTGGGAACATTTCCTAAATACTAAACTATTACTGATTATTTTTTTCCCCGTTTAGATTGGAACTAAAGAAAGATCAGAGAAAATCAGAACTTACAATTTTCCCCAAGATCGGGTTACTGACCATAGAATAGGCAAGACAGTACATCACATCGAAAGATTCATGCTGGGGGAAGAACTGTTAGATGAAATGATACAGTCATTAAGAAAATACAGCGAATATGAAACGTTAATGGAAGTTATTTCAGAAAATGATGCAAGCAGACCAAAATGATCTTCATCACATCCTAGACCATAGGTATGAAAGTGCTTTCCAAATTAATTCGCTGCATATCTGTTTGTTTGCACAGAATTGATTTACAATCCCATATATACTGTATGTCAATTTATTTTGGTACTGCTCAACACCCAAACAACATATATTGATTATCTCTAATAAGGTTGAATGCACCTTACCCATGCCCTGGGACAATAGCCAGGTATTTAAAGCCTTCCTAAATGCCATCATGATACGAGCTGTCCATAGCTTAAGGGGACATCATTCCACAGGACAGGTGCCACAACATGCTTCCCGGGTCCTGAAAAATAACACTGATCAAAGGGACCTGGAGCATCCCCACTTGTTGGCTCTTACTGGACAGAAACCATAGGAAACAGGCAGTCCCTCAAATAACCAGGCCCCATGCCATGTAGGGCTTTATAGGTGATAAGTAGCACTTTGAATTGCATCCAGAAGCATACTGGCAGCTGGTGCAACAAAAGGAAGTGGGTATGGCAAGGGTAAAAGCATGCTGAAACTAAATGGCTAAGCTGGCATGTTTTCTAATTGGTTTTTGGAGGATTTTTATGTGTATATTAAATTTATATGCTGCCCAACTTCTGGTGACTCTTGAGTGGCATGAAAGCATACTGCTGTTGTAAAAAAAGCATTAATGCTTCAGATAGAAACTGTTAAATACATGTATTTAATTTATACAGTTGCCTATCTCAATGAGTAACTGTCGACTATAATTCTGGTGAACAGAATTAAAATAGAAAACAATAATGAACATTATAAAAATTAAAAATGCAGCCAGCCAAGAAACAATGACCCAAATCACTAATACAACCAAGAAGCCATATTCTAAAAATTGAGTTATTATTCCTTCTATACTTGAATAGACAATGGTGAAAAATTGGAAAACTGAGAATATGCTGGTTTTCAAGTGCTCACTCTCAGTCAACAGAAGTGTTCATGTATTTAGTTATATTTTTAGCAAACCCATTCTAAATGGCTCTGGGCAAATAACAGTCACAAACACCAGCAAGCTCCAAATCTATCTTTCAAAAATAGTAAACTAAACATAGTATCAAAATGGTACAAAAATGAACACAAACCTTGTCTGCCAAATTAACATTTTCAAACACAGCATACCCACTTGTGCTTGATGGAAAATAACCAGGTCTTGATATAATTATGTCATTTGCAATGTTGCATCAGTACATAAATGACAATGGTGGAAATTGATGGATATAAATGAATTATCCAGACTAGTTTAGGTACATCAGACATAGTTTAAACATTACTTTTGTCCACTTTCAAATTTAGTCTGTTACATCTGAAGTTCTTTAAATAGGGACTGATAAATCAACATTTCTCAATATAAGAAAATGTAATTTCTATGTAAAAGCTAAAATGAATATTTTTCTTTATTCTATTGTTTTTTTAGTTTTGCAAGATGTTTGGGATTTTCCAAATAAAATTAGCATCTATTGATGTTCTAAAGCTGCACTCAGTCAGCCTGATTGAAATTATTCCCTTTAATTAAGGATTTACTCTTTGCTAATAATTGTAGGTGGGGTTCCTTATCTTACGTACAATAGCTTTTGTCAGCATTGCAACAAAAGATGGGAGAATCTAAGACTTATTGACCTAGCGGCTTTCTTTTCTTTTACCTTTTAAAAGTCTGTTCCTGAATAACAGCAACATTTTTCCAAATTTTTGAGGAAAAAAAGAATTCCCGAATTCCTTTTCCATTTTAGAGGAAAGCTTTCTAAAATGCTCTCTTGAGTTTGTTTGTTTGTTTGCAGAGGTTTCCTTACCCCAAACTAAGTAACATCATCAGAGGAGTTTGCTGTTAAGTTTTTCTTTTCCATTTAGGTACCGGTAATCATATAAACTTGTAAAAGGCATGTCAAAGCAATTATCTGTGTTAAGAAGGGATGTGTAAATAATAAGGAATTTATTTATATTTTATAACAACTTTTATTTGAAATAAATTTTATTGAGAGTTGTCTTTAAGAATCAGATTTTTCTAAATACTAATACATAGAAAAATTTCCTTGACTATGCAACCTTTATTCAGAGACAAATTCAGGTTCTCACCTACGCTTCTATATATTGTCTTATTTTGTCTCCTGTTTTTTACGAAAAATAAACATGACAATGTAGTTGTAAAAGATGAAAACACTCCTTTTTCCAGCAATTCTCTCCCATTAGATATTTATCTGTAGAACTAAACCACCAAAACTAAAGGGAATTGTATCCCTTTACATATGCATTAGTCTTCAGTTTGAAAATTGAAGGAACAAGTAATATGAAAAGTGGTCGCATCCCAGGACTGAAAAAGTTCCCAAATTTCTTACGTAAGACATATCACAGGGAATATATGGTTTTATTCCAAACAGTCTAAAAGCATGTAACAGAAAGACAGGTAAATGATGCAAAAGTAAAAGTTCAGATTTTAATTCTTAATATTTGATAATGAGAATGGGCTGTCCAAGGAAGAAATCTGATTATTATATACACATAGATTTTAAACACAATACAGAGTTTGATACAATACAAATAGATGTCCAGTTCCGGAACTTATCCTGGAAAGAATAGAGCTACACGCTTAGTTCTAGCGCAGTGTTTCCCAAACTTGACAATTTTAAGGCATGTGGACTTCAACTCCCAGAATTCCACAGCCAGCGTTGCTGGCTGTGGAATTCTGGGAGTTGAAGTCCACATGCCTTAAAATTGTCAAGTTTGGGAAACACTGTTCTAGCGTTAGTGCAGAATACCATACTTCAGTGTTTCTTGACAGCTAAGTAAAATACCAGAATTTCTTCCCATCCAGTATTCTGCCACAATTGATGGTTTCAGAAGTTGCTTAAAGAATTCCAAATGTTATCCCTCTTCCAGATTCAATAACTGAAGCCATTTGGATAAATATCTCTGAAGGGCACCTATCCTTGGTCATACTCCTTGCATGCTACTTTTAATAGTAGTGTTATCTTTATAGATAAAAGAACGGAATAGATGTATTATTTAGGTTTTTAAAAACAAAATAATAATTTCTTGTACAAGATAGTTATGTACACCTTCTGGAGAATATTCACTTTGATGGTATGAAAATAAGTTTGATTATAAGCCCCTTTTCCTTCCACCTAAACCTCTTGATTTTATATTTGTTTTATTGGGAAAGTGTATGCTATGTTGTCATCTGAAATATATGCCTTTAATTCATCTGATTCTAGTGTTTAATGATAATATGCCAGGTCATCTCTAAAGAGATTTTAGTGAAAAACTGAAGTTTATAGTAAACTTTACTAAATGTGATAGGATTTTTTTTCCCCTAAATATCAGATGTAGTCTATATGGACTTTTTAAATAAATAGCCTTGGATTTTAAAATATATATAAACAAAGGGAACAAAATACAGCAGTACTAGCCGAAATCCTATTCTGAAGCTTTTTACATATGGAAGGGCAAGCTAATCTTTCCATTTCTGACAAATGTCTTTACTTTGAGGGATGTAAATAATTGGGGAAAATAGGTGCACCATTCCAAAGTCACATAGAGCCTACATAATTTAATGAGAAAAGTATGGTTCCCCAAATAACAGGCAAGGCTCAAGCAGTAAGGTAAGGCAAAGTCATTCCGGGGAAAGTTGGGGGGGGTGTGTGTGTCGAGGAACTTTTAATCGGTCCCATACAGCATAATTAATAAGAGGTCAATGCAGTGTATATGGATGGCCATAGCTTGCCTACTGATGCACTGAAATAAAAAGCATCATTAATTTTCTTGGATGTTTAGCGTAAGAGATATAGGACGGTGTCCTCGAATATTATAGGGAATAATTTCCAAATCAGGTGCTATTCGGAATAGGCAATAGCTCCATCTTATCAAATAAAAAAGCACCAACTTCCATCCAAGTTGAGTTACTTTAGAAAACATGCTACAAGCATCGCGGCGGCCCGAATAAACGAGTTTCCCTTACGACCGCAAACCCTGCAGTAAAAGGAGCAGGACGGAAGCGAGATGGAATCGGCGCCTTAATCCGGCTACTGGGTCTCTCCTCTTCGCGCCCTGTAGCTACACATCCTGTCCCCGCGCTCGTCGCCTCAGCGGGCAGGAACCCGGGGGATGGGCACGAGACGTCCAAAGGGCCACGTCCAATAGAATGTCACGAACAAGAGAGAGCGCGAGCCTTGCCGCGCTCCAGGATAGGCCCCACAGCATCTCCCGCGCTCTGGCACAACTAACCCGTCCATCCCCCCGCCGGCCCGCAAGAGACTGCAGGAGCGCGCGCTAGCCGGTCTCTTTTCTCCACCCTTCCCTGGGCGCGTGCGCGTTCACTCTTTAAATCCCTTGGCTGGGGCTGAGAGCTGGCGGGCAGAATGGGAGGGGGGAGGGAAGAGTCCCTTCAACGGCAAGGCACACCTCGCGAGCAGGCATTGGCCGCCGCCACTTGCTTCTTATTGATTGGCTACCGGCTTGGTAGAGCTCCTCCTAATTGGCTCTTCGGGTTTTGGATACCAGATTTAAACCTTTTAAAAGTGCCCGGAAAAGGGATTCCACCCAGAGACTGACTTTGAAAAAGAAAGCGCGAAAGGAGGCAGCGCTTACCAGCTAGAAAACCAGCCACTTCAGGTACCGGGGCTTGGTGGAGACTATTTTGCGGGAAAACCATGGTCCTCTTCATGATGCGGCCCTAAGCTGATTGCTGATAAACCGAGGCTCCGATCCCCAGGATATTCGAATGAATGGGCTAAGGCATAAGGGGTATTCAGTTCTGGGGGAGGGGGAGGAAAGGCGCGAATGCGGGACTGCAACGGTGCAAAGCCCCCCCCCCCCCCAAGGATTGAGAAACTGACGTCGGCAGAAAGTCTCGCCAGCGGAAAAAAGCCCATCGGTTTCTTCCCGCGTCGTGGCCGGGATGCCTGTAGGAAAACCTGCATCGCTCCCCAGCATGTCCTTAGTCTACTGTACGGGTAGAAGATTCTGGGGGCGATCATTTCCCCTACACAATCTTCAATTGGCTACTTTTCCAAAAATGCAGTCTTGGAAAACGTGTGTCCCTTTGTGGAGGGGGGGACGATTCCCTTTTCTCTCCCCAAATCTTCTTGGAGGCCGCCTCGCGTAGTTAGTGCGCCCGGCGGACTCCATTTCTAAAGAGCGCGGGCGGGTTCAGAGCTCCCTCGCTTTTTGCTGGAGCCCGCCAGTAAACCAGATTGGATGGCAAGGGCAGTTGCGTGGCTTCTGCGGTCACTGAGCTCCCGACCTTGATTTAGCACTAAAGAAATGAAAAAACGTGCATTTTAAAAAACCCGAGAAAGAAATTAGCACAGGCAGAACTCCCGCGCTCCCGTTTGCCTTGTGCCTTTTAAAGGGATCCTTTCTGTCAAGCTGGCAGCTTTAAATTTTGGGAGAAAGAAATAAGCTGGAGTAATCCAGCAGGCCAAGTAAAAAGAGAAGGTTGATGTGCCATATATATATATATATATATATATATATATATATATATATATATATATATATATATATATATATATATATATATATATATATGGCCCTGAAAGGCCACATCAACCCTCTCTGATGTGGACAATTTCTGCCTATTTGTGAGCCCCCTCCCTATATATAGATATATGTATGTATATATATATGTATATGTGTATATGTGTGTGTGTGTGTATATATATATATATAAATATATATATATGTTGAGTCAGGGTAACTTCCAGTCGATGGGGGAAGCTATTTATGGATATGGCGCTCTTTGCGCCTGGCTCCTAAACCTCATCACAGGTCCCAGCCAATCCACCTGTGTTTTGGTCGTAATTTCCGTATTGCTAGCCGTTGTTTCCTTGCTTGTATCTATACCACCACCCTTTCTCCCCTCCTCATGTGGCTGTGAGCTAAGGAAACCCCTTAGTTTCATATGATCAAACGTACGTTGTACATCTTGTACATATGTACAACGTACGTTTGATTATATGAAACTAAGGGGTTTCCTTAGCTCACAGCCACATGAGGGAAGAAAGGGTGGTGGTATGGATACAAGCAAGGAAACAATGGCTAGCAATATGGAAATTACGACCAAAACACAGGTGGATTGGCTGGGACCTGTGACGAGGTCTAGGAGCCGGGCGCAAAGAGCACCATATCCATAAATAGCTTCCCCCATCGACTGGAAGTTACCCTGACGATGCTGGCAGTAGCCAGCGAAAGCTTGGTATTTTATCTCATTAAAACTTTTATAGTTTTATAAATTTCCTGGTGTTCGTGCATTTTATGCTAGTCAACATGAATTTACCCAGGAATCACCTTTTTGTTTTTAGTATTTTTAATAATATACATACATACATACATATATACATATATGTATGATATATATGTCCTTCTTGGTTCCCTTACCAATAATCTCAATAATAAAATAATATCTTTGAAACTATCTTTATGGTTCCCCAGTTTTCTTTTAACTCCTTGAGCTTATAAAAATCTGGGTATTCTTCTCATCCACATTGATCAATAAGACATGATACCTTTTTTGTAAGAACTGCACCTTGGCGTTTTCAAAAATGGTTCTCAAACTGATAGACTTCATTGCCTCAAATATATGAAGACAGTATAATTAGGTTAGAACTGCATTATACTATCCACAAATAATACCTGCAATTGATCCTTTTTCAAATTCACTATTCTGGATAGTGCCTGAGTGGTAATAATATCCTAAATGTAGAACCTATTAAATACTTCTGGAATGGCGTCCATTAGCAGATTGGGGTAAGGTCATTTTTGCTCCCTCCACTCATCCTTTATGTAACTTCCAAATCTACACAACACTGGGAACAGAAGGGAGAAAAAATATGTGAATGAGAGTTATTCATGCCTAGTTGGAGTCTGCCTAATCAAGCTATATGGAAAAAGCTATCTACTACTTCTAAATTACATTGCTAGCTTCCTACTTACTTTCGAGTTTTTGTGGGTAAAAGAAAGTTTCTATTAACCTTTACTCAAACAAATTTACTGCACAAGAACATCTGGAAAAGGTTAGACAAAGCTAGTGCTATGTGTTCTGATTAAAAAAGTAGATCAAAGACTATTAATTCAATCTTGCCCATACAGGAAAACCACTGTTACAGAGTTTGAAAAATGGCTGACCAAATTCTGAGTCCTTAAGTAGATGTGATTTGCTAACACCTTGACAATGCAGGAAAACCACTGCTACAGAATGGCCAGAAAAACTCACAATCCTTAAGTAGATATGATTTATTAACTACTTAATAGTTATTGTATACCAATAATGTGTGTCTTAACGGTAGGTTTCTCTAATCCAGTTTGTGATAAACATGCCATATTTACTGCCATCTTTAATTCTGTTGAATCAGTCTGTATGGAAATATTACTGAGTTGCATATATGCAGAATAAAACAGTATTTTCTTTTGTCTGAAGTCAGATGCACTGCCACTTGTATTTTGTAAATGTTTTAACCCTTTCTATAGAATACCACATTTCCACAGGGCTTTTAGAACTATGTACAATTGCCAACAAAATAATCAGGAATTATCAAAACAAAGGCAAGAATTTGTTGATTTTGTTTTTTTTTAATCTGTGCTTTCAACCATTCTCTAGTTTAATATAATGATTTGGACTAACACATATATATATCTTAATTTCAGGGAACATTTGAAAAGCTACCCTAACCACTGAAAATGAAACGTGATTTTAATTATAGCCATGTTTACTATGAATCTTCACTATTAAAACTAACTGGAACAGAAGCAACATCAGAAGAGCCTTGCCCTGAGAGTTACAATGAAAATTGCAAAGAGTGTACCAAAGAAAAGCTCTTCTATGGTGACCCGCATCATGGAAGTTCCAAGAGTTTCAATCTCAAAAGTGGAAAAAAGCTTATGCACAATAAAGAAAACCAACAAGTATGGAGACATATTGAGAGTGCCAGTGAAATTGACAATGAAAACGAAGACAGTGGATACTCCTCTTTATTGGGTATTGAGCACAAACCCAATGATAATGATGACAGTGTGCTATTAGCAGGGAATATCAACAATATACCAAATCATAGTTTCAGTCCAAGAAAAAATTTACTACCAGTCCTCCATTTTGAAGAACTTGTCTGCTCAACTTTGAAAAAAACTAGCAAACGGAATCCAAAGTCGTGGGCTCTTGTCTTAGATAAAATAGCTTCAAGGAAAATGGAATTTGTGAATCTGATTGGCAAAAAAATGGGATTAGATAAGCTAGATATTCTTGGAGAATTATTTCATGGGAAATTCAGACATCTGTTAGCAAACATTTTAATACATCTTAACGATACAGACTTGATAAAGTAAGTTCGCAATGTTGTGTTTTCCCTTGGCAAAATAAATATAGGTTAAGTTATAGTGTACTAAATTTAAAGACTTTCTTAAAGCCCATGATATGTTTTCCTGGGCAAAATGCTACTTTTCATCATGTGAAAATATTTCACCGGGAGAATGAAGCTATATTCAAAAATGTGTTTCATAAATGGAACCAGGTTTGCATATACCTTACATCATTGGCTGTATGCTCATGTAAAAAATAATTAAGCATTTTTTCTAGTTTAGAGTTAGTGCTGAAAAAATACTGAAGAAAATGCTGACCTTTGCTAATATACTAGGATGTGCTTTAGATATAACTCACAAAGTCATTGTTGGGACAAAAGAAAATTTATTCCTAAAGGTTAAGCAATGAAACATTTTCTACATTTTTAATGAAATGGAGACCATTTCAGAAAAGGATAGGGTGTTTTCCAGTGTTTACATTGCTCTAGTTGATACTTTTTATACCTTTAGGGAGCCAAGTCCACTGAAAACAGTAAACAGGACTTTAAAAAAAAGTTTATATTTCTATTATATGTGTATTGAAAGTTTCTATGGTTTCTGTTAAGTAATAAGACTGCTCTCTGATTTTAACCATGGGTTTTCTTTCCACAACAGCATGGCCAAAGTTAGCACTACGTGGAAGAAAATTCTTCTTAGTGACAAGTGGGCTTTCCAGATGTATAACAAAGCACTAAAACTCAGTTTGGTAAGTCTAGTGTTTCTCTATCACAACCCCCAGATGTAGGGGTTTAAAATTTCAGTTTCTGTTTGTAAACAGTAAAGTGGTTCAAATAATATAAAAAACAGTATGTCACGTAACAGGTTGTCCCAAATTGACTGGTTTGAGATCGAGTGATTAGCTTTGGGTAAAAAGGTAAAAATAAACCACTTTAAATTCTGTAAAATAGGTTAATTTTATGACAAACAGAAAACAGACTTCTCCAGAGGGAATCAATGATTTGGACGAGGGGATAGATGGGGAACTCATCAAAGTTGCGGACGACATCAAGCTGGTAGGAATAGCCAACACTTCAAAAGACAGGCTTAAGACCTGGACAGACTTGAACACTGGGCGCTATATAACAAAATGAAATTCAATGGTGAAAAAAGTGAGGTTCTACATTTAGGCAAGAAAAAACAAATGTACAGGTATAGTATAGGGGGTACGTTGCTCAATAGTAGTAACTGTGAGGGATCTCAGAATCCTAGTGGACAATCACTTAAATATGAGCCAGCAGTGTGCTGCAGCTGCCAAAAAAGCTAACACAGTGCTGGGCTGCATTAACAGGGATAGAATCAAGATCATGTGAAGTATTAATACACTTTACAATGCCTTGGTAAGGCCAGACTTGGAATACTGCACCCAGTTTTGGTCACCACGATGTAAAAAAGATGCTGAGACTCTAGAAAGAATACAGAGAAGCGCAACAAAGATGATTAGGGGACTGGAGGCTAAAACATATAAGAAACGGTTGCTGGAATTGGGTATGTCTAGTTTAACAGAGAGAAGGACGAGGGGGGACATGATAGTAGTGTTCCAATATCTCAGGGGCTGCCACAGAGAAGAGGGAGTCAAGCTATTCCCCAAAGCGCCTGAAGGCAGGACAAGAAGCAATAGATGGAAACTAATCAAGGAGAGAAGCAACCTAGAACTAAGGAGAAACTTCCTGACAGAACAATTAACCAGTGGAACAACCTGCCTCCAGAAGAGGTGAATGCTCCAACACTGGAAGCTTTTAAGAAGAGACTGGACAGCCATTTGTCTGAAATGGTATAGGGTTTCCTGCCTGAGTAGGGGGTTGGACTCAATGACTTCCAAGGTCCCTTCCAACTTTATTATTATTATAAATTGGGGATTGTAAGGAAAAAAATATTAGTTAAATGTTTAATTCCCCAGTCATTTATGAAAGGCTTATTTTTACTGTACGGTATATGAAGAGATGAAAATGTACAAGTATAGTAATGTATGTACAGTATAGTAATGAATTATTGTATTTTCAGACTGAAGCAAATCATTTTTAATGATTTATTAATTGTTTAATCAAAATTTCTTTTCTCCACAGAATAGCAACACAGTAGCTGCCAAACAGTCTGATACAAGGGAGTATGCTCTCCATCGTGAACCATTAACTTATATTCAGAAAGTAGCACCCACACAAATTAACTTTTCTAAAAAAACATCCCGAATGAAAGCAAACACCCAGAGTAATCAGAGCTCTTCTTTCAGCCGCCATTCACAATTTTCTGAGGTAATCTACAAATGCTTTAATCTTGATTTAATATACTGAAAGTAAAGTAAACCACTTATTAAGATTCTCAGACTGAGCTGCAGAATCTTTTGGAGCACAAGCAAACTCAAAGGCAGGAGAAAAATTTGCCTCTGGACAAGAAAGGAGTTTATCGCAAAGTTTGCGAACCTTTGATATCCACTGATTAACATGTAATTAAAAGTGATGAACTTAGTTTGAATGATTCAATCAAATCATTAGCAACATGGGCAAGAAGTTGCACCAATTCTTAATATTAATGTTTTTCATCATTTGTAAATTGCCCTGAGTCAATGAGAGTCTAGCAGCGTATACATTTAATAAATAATAATTTACATTTTACAATGGTAATTTATTGATACAATACTCCATTTTTAGGGACTACCATGGCTACCAAATAAGACTAATAAAAAATCATTTCCCAATCAATAGCAATAGCATTTAGACTTATATTCCTCCCCCCCCCCCCCAGTAGTGCTTTACAGCAGAGGTCCCCAACCTTTTGGGCACCAGGGACCGGTTACGTGGAGAGAGGTTTTTTTCCATGGACCAGATAGGGCATGTTTTTTTTGTGCTGCTTGCATCCTGCAGATGGGGCTTTGCTTGTTTGTGTGAACCGGTTGCTGGCATGCCAGGGGTTGGGGACCCCTGCTTTACAGCATACTCTGAGCGGTTTACAATGTAGAAGCATTATTGCGTACTGTCATCAACAATCTGGGTCCTCATTTTACCATCCTCGGAAAGATGGAAGGCTGAGTCAATCCAGCTCTGACAGGGTTGAACTCAGAATGTGGGCAGAGTTTTGCCTGCAATACTGCATTTTTAATTACTACACCTCCAGGGCTCAGTTGGGTATTTACCATTGCAATATTTACAGCCAAATTTCATATGCCTGACAACAGAAGCTTTCAGTTTGAAACCAATTATGCTCTGGTCAGTTTGAAGCAGCAGTGCTAGCTGGCTAGAGACTTATTTAATTTAAGATCACAGAACTGAGTTTATTAACTTGAAGTTAGAGCTTTATAAGAAAGTGCTGTGCTACAGAGAAAAGCAACTCAGGAAGCCCGTGTAGGCAATCTGTCCTGGAATGGGAAAAATAAATCGGGCACGAGGCATTGTACAAGAGAACCTCATCTGGATGAGATGGCAACAACCAGTATACTGTCACCCTGCCTATTTAACTTATATGCAGAGCACATCATGAGAAAGGCAGGGCTAGATGAATCAAAAGTTGGAATTAAGATTGCCGGGAGAAATATCAACAACCTAAGATATGCAGATGATACCACTCTAATGGCAGAAAGTGAAGAGGAACTAAAGAGCCTCTTGATGCGGGTGAAGAAGGAGAGTGCAAAAGTTGGCTTGAAACTCAACATTAAGAAAACCAAAATCATGGCATCCGGCCCTCTCAATTCCTGGCAAATAGATGGGGAAGAAATGGAGGTAGTGACAGATTTTATTTTTCTGGGCTCCAAGATCACCTCAGATGGGGACTGCAGCCAAGAAATTAAAAGACGCTTGCTCCTGGGGAGGAAAGCTATGGCAAATCTAAACAGCATTCTAAAAAGCAGAGACATCACCCTGCCAACAAAAGTGCGTATAGTCCAGGCCATGGTTTTCCCAGTTGCAATGTATGGCTGTGAAAGTTGGACCATAAGAAAGGCTGAGTGCAAAAGAATTGAGGCCTTTGAACTATGGTGCTGGAGAAGACTCCTGCGAGTCCCTTGGACTGCAAGGCGTTCAAACCGGTCAGTCCTAGAAGAGATCAACCCCGACTGCTCTTTAGAAGGCCAGATCCTGAAGTTGAAACTCAAGTACTTTGGCCACCTAATGAGAAGGAAGGATTCACTGGAGAAGAGCCTAATGCTGGGAAAGATTGAGGGCAATAGAAGAAGGGGACGACAGAGAATGAGATGGCTGGATAGAGTCACTGAAGCAGTAGGTGTGAATTTAAATGGACTCCAGAAGATGGTAGAGGACAGGAAGACCTGGAGGAACATTGTCCATGGGGTCGCGACGGGTCGGACACGACTTCGCAATTAACAACAACAACAACAAGTGATCTTTACAGCATCTCTTTTTCTCAGTCACACGTTTGTTAGGAATCATTTTACCTATTGAGAAAGTCACAAACAGATTGATCACTAAACAAGGAAAGAATATATTGTGAGCCTATTTCTTAGACTGTTCCTAAATGTGTTCCATATAGTTATTCTAGGAAAGTGGTTTAAAAAAAAACACCTTCAAAATACATGCTGGATTATGGTTTTGTTTTGTTTTTGTTTTAGGTTGCAAAGACTTTGAAAAATACTGAAAGTTTGAAAGTTTGCCATCGCTGTGGTTCCCCTGCAAAATACGATTCCCATCTGCAAAGGGCAACGTGTGTCCGAGAAAGCTGTGGTTTTGACTTTTGCACAAAGTGTTTGTGCAGCTACCATACTGCCAAGGATTGCATCATTGGAAAACCTGTAAAAACGACTTTCAGACTCGGACCTCTTCCTTGTAGCAAAAAAAGCAAACAGAATTTACGGAGACTATAATTTCCCCGATGCAAATTCTAGCTAGAGTATCATATTTTGCTTGTAGGTTCAAAAGAGGAGTGAATGTGAAAGTTGTGGTTGTCTAATTTAAAAAAATGCAGTGATTTTTTTAAAAATCAATTTTAAAGTTTTTTTGTTTTTTCAGATGTCTTCCTCTCCCCTTTTTAGAAGGATGTTCAGCCAAATTTTTAAACTACTTCTAGGTTTACATGAGAATTGTACATGGCAACCTTGACTTAACAAGTACAATAACAGTGGATTTTTATTAAGTTGGGGGCAGTAAAGGTAGCATTTGTTTTTAAAAGTTGCTTGTTTTATGGCCTCTAACTTCATGCCTTATAAAAAGCCTTTCAGAGTTTTTACAATATAATCTAATAAGCAAATCATATTTAATGTATTTGCAATGCCAAATTTTTATTAAAATTGAATTTCATCTGAACAAAACATTAAACATGTAAATAGGATTAGTTTTTATAACCACATGTGTCTTGATAGCTGCTGAAACGTAGTGTCCTGGCCCATTTCATCTTCATTACTGGGTAAAGATGCCTAGAAATGTATATATTTGTAAATACTTAAATATTTGTCTGTCTACATGAAAAATAAAAATTATCTTTATAAATAAAACCATCTCTGCTATTTGAATGTTACAAGTTTTAAAGATTAATGATACCTCCATGTTGTCTCACTAATCACTTCAATACAATGCTCAGTAGGTTGCCCATTGACATACCTACATTGTACATGACATCATGCATGTGCTTAGCATGAAGTGCTTAGCATGAGCACAAACTTGCTCATGAGGGTGTACATAGGTCTTTTCTAATGAATAGGAAGAAATAAATGGAATCTCCCTGATAGGTCCTTTGCAGAGAATTATGTTCATAAAAAGATAGAGATGTTAAAGCTATAATTCTCTAGAAGTTGAGGGATAAAGTTGTCAACGTATTTTACCATTGACAATATCTGAGGCTGTTGTGAGTTGCCTTAGCTTTTCACTCTTGTTAGAGAACAGATCTTTTCCCCCATCCTATTTACTGCAGGACAGTGCATGATTCCTCTCTGCCCTGAGATCTGGCATATTCCATTTTGGCTGGCCTTTACTTCACAGAACAACAAAATGTTTCACAGCAATAGAAAGCAACCAGAACTCAAGGCATCGTCCCTCTTATTTTTTATCCCAAAGCTTTAAAAACATGGGTGGTAGTTCATAATGACAAACTGCTACTTTACCAGATTAAAAACTTGCCAAGGGGAGGAGTTCTTTAAAGTCTCAGTGTCAACTGTCCAACTAGCGAACTCAAATTGAGGAATCTTCAAGGCTTTGAAGTGCCATAAAAGATAAGCTTTATTGAATACACATCTCGGAACTGAAGAAGCAAATCCAGCTCGGGTTTTTCCCGTGTGGAAATATGCTTAATTAAAGGCTGTCCCCACCCTCTGGGTGCTCCCACTGTCCAATCATAGAACTCTGGCTTGTTATGGGAATGGTCCGCTTTCCCATCAAGTACTTGCGTTGGTGACCTTGACATTCCTGCAGGCTCTCATGGTCCGTAGATGGATTCTTGGAATGCCGCTTCCTGTGCTTTCTACCTCTCCCCCCCTTTTTATGGCAAGTTGATTAGCAATAAATGTTAGCAGATCTCATAGCGATTCAATCTTGACACTCAGCCTAACAACCTCACAGGATTGTTGTGGATAAAATAGGAAGAAAAAGGATTATTAGATCATGTTTGCCACCTTGAGATATTTATAGCAGCAGCCCCCAACCTTTTAGGCACCAGGGACAGGTTCTGCGGAGAGACCTTTTTCTATGGACCTGAGGGGGTATGGTTTCATTGCTGCCTCATCCCACGGATGGGGCTTCGCTTGTTTGCGCAGCCCGGTTTCTGGCATGCCGCACACCGCTGCCAGTCCACAGACCGGGAGTTGGGGACCCCTGATATATAGAACAAATAAAGGTGGGATAAAAAAAATAGCCTTTCCAAACAATGAAAGCAACCAAACAAGTGTAGATCTTCATTTAAAAAAAAAAAAAAGTGTCCTGAAGCTCAGCCAAGCACTTAGATCACATTTAAAAGACAACACTTTATTTGTTGAACTTCATCTTCTGCTTTGTGTAAAGCAACACCTTGGGTTTGGCTCTAGAAGGATGGAAGTTCCATTAGTCACTATAGGAGTAGCTTCATGTCAGTATATAGACAATACCTGAATTCATTCTCCCAATAACCTAGCACATAACTTTGAGGCAGAAGAGAAATATATTATTAGCTGTAAGCTGATGAGCACGATGTCTGAAAAGAAGGCTGTTTTGAAACAATTTTCAAGTTCCATCATAAAAGAATGGCGACTAGTCTGACACAGGTGAAGAGAAAGAAAAATGGGACTTAAAGCTTCAGGATGCACACATAAAGAAAATGACATCCCTTCAGTTGTATCTGATTCTTTCAGAGACTGCCTAGACCAGGGATTGGCAACCTTGGCCCTTTTATAACTTGTGGACTTCAACTCCCAGAGTTCCTGAGCATGGCTCAGGAATTCTGGGAGTTGAAGTCCACGAGTCATAAAAGAGCCAAGGTTGCTACACCTGGCCTAGACAAGTCCCTGCAGTTTTCTTCACAAGATTTTTCAGAAGTGCCATTGTCTCCTTCCTAGGGCTGAGAGAAAGTGATTGGTCCAAGGTCACCCAACTAGTTACACCCAAAGTGGGGCTAAAACTCCCAGTTCCTAGCCTGGTCCCTTAACAACTGCACTAAAGTCACTCTCTAATGAGATCCTTAAGATTGTGTAAACCTTCTTTGATCTGTGTTATTATTGCAGCTAATTGTATCTGCAATAAATTTTATTATACTGGTGCCTTGTCCTTGGCTTCCTGTGAAAGTTCCACAGAAGGGGTTAGAAGACTTAGAGACTTTTTGCAGTGATCTGGATGGAAGCCTCATAGATTTTAAACTAACATTTAGCTAATTAAGCAAACAAACTGGAATTCTGAGGGGTTGCCTTAAGTAGGTACCCAAATATTCACCAAGAAAGCAGCAGTAACATTGCAACACGTGACGCAAAAGAACATGCCAATCTCAGCGCTTGGGATGGTTCTAACACTTGAAACAACACTGAAATGTTTGGTGTTTGTTCTGAATAGAGAATAAAACCAATATCTTTTGGGGTGTGCACCAAATGGAAGTCTGACTAAACTATGTATGTTGTTTTCAGTTGGAAACACTCAGGATGACCAAACTTTTGTACATCCTCAGTTTAGAAACTGTTGTGTCCTGAGCCTGTTGAAGTATACAGCAGGCTCAGAAATGTTGCAAACAGTCCAGGGCAGACCAAAAGCTGCCCGGGACCAGACTGGATGTCGCCAGCCTTGCGTGCATGGGCAAGGCGTGAAAACAGCCAGCTTCTTATTGGCTGACACTGTCCGGGTTCAGGACTCTATAAAAGGCCTGCGTGCCTTTTGGCCCTTGCTTGGTTGTAAGGAGAAGATCAATAAAGAGATTGCTTGTTCATCATGTGTCTTTGTCTAATGCCTGAGAACCAAATACTAAGGTGACCAACTGTCACCTTAGGGAGCACAGTCCTCCTTTTGTAAGTTCTGTCCTCCCTCGAAAAGTGTCCTCCTACATGTCCTCCTTTTCGATATGGGCTTTTTTTCCCTCATAGAATGCTCAAAATGGCATTCCGGCACCTTTTTTTGATGTTTTTTTTTTCAACTTTTGCATGAGCTGTGCTACTTCCACTATTGGCTTTTGAAAGCCAATAGGAATTGTTGCTGAGCGCGCCAAAACACCCGTCTGGCAAACTTTGCATATGCAAGTTGTCTGTATTATTGTTGCAATGAATAAAATGTTTCTTTTATTTACGATATTTTTTTCTTCAATTTATTTGTGTCCTCCTTTTCATTGTAAAAAAGTTGGTCACCTTACAAATACATAAAAGAAACCCTGAGATCTAATTCCATTTCAGTTTGGATGACCTTGGACCAATCCATTCTCTCTTAGCCCTAGGAAGCAAGTAAGGAAAAACTATTTCCAAAATCTTGTCAGGAAAACTGTAGGCCTTGACAGAATAACAGAATTGGGAGGGACCTTGGAGGTCCTCTAGTCCAAGCCTCTGCTCGGGCAGGAGACCCTATATCATTCCAGACAAATGGCTGTCCAATCTCTTCTTTAAAATCTCCAGTGTTAGTGCCCCTACAATTTCTGAAGGCAACCGTTACACTGATTAATTGTTCTCACTGTCAGGAAATTTCTTTTTAGTTTGAGACTGAATCTCTCTTTGGTAAGTTTCCATCCATTACTTCTTGTCTTGCCATCAGGTGCTTTGGAGAATAGCTTGCCTCCCTCTTCCTTGAGGCAACCCCTCAAATATTGGAAGGCTGCTATCATGTTACCCTTAGTCCTTTGTTAGACACTAGATCAGTGGTTCTCAACCTTTCTAATGCCGTGACCCCATAATACAGTTCCCCATGTTGTGGTGACCCCCAAGTGGGTGTGGCCACCAATAAGAGGGAGTAGGACGGCTGGGGAAAAGGGAAAAAAATGGTGGACAGCGTGGTTTGGCGACCCCCGTGAAATGGTCGTTCGACCCCAAATGGGGTCCCGACCCACAGGTTGAGAACCACTGTACTAGATATACCCAGTTCATCGTATATTTTAGCCTCTAACCCTCTAATCATCTTTGTTGCTCTTCTCTGTACACTTTCTAGAATCTCTATATCTTTTTTATATTGCAGTGACCAAAATTGGATGCAACATTCCAGGTATGGTCTCAGTAAAGCAGTATAAAGCAGTACTAACACTTTACATGATTGTAATATTGTCCCTCTGTTGATGCAGCCTAGGGTTATGTTGCCTTTTATTGTAGCTACAGCAACACTGCTGGCTCATATTTAAGTGGTAGTCCACTAAGATTCCTCTCACAGTTACTGTTGAGCCAGGTACCACCTATTCTGTACCTGTGCATTTGTTTTTTCTTGCCTTATCCAGGCACTCAACATTGTTCAACATTGACTAGAGGACAGATATATACACACACACACAATTTAGAAGTTGAGGCTTTGCAGTTCTTCAGACTCAAAGAGAACATTTTTGCTTCCCTTCTTTTCTGATCCCTGCCCTCCACAGCTCCAGTGCAATCTTGGGAAAAATATGTTTGGTTGAAGCAATTGGAGACTGGGACTTCGTGTGCAGCCAGAATTTTCCCTTTGAATCTGAAATGTTGTACAGTTATATTGGGAAATCATAGAAATTTGCACAAGGACCCAAGATTTGGAGTATCTGTAAGGACCCACCTCAGCTAACCACCCAAGAAAGCAGAACTCTTGAAACAGGCATTGTCTCAAAAGGAAACTTTTATTAGGGGTTAGTGACAGTAGGGAAGTCAAGGCAAGATCTGGGGAAAACCCCGCTAAAATGGTATAGTTAAACCAGCAATATTCCTCCTCTCCCCCCCCCCACCAGAGTCATAGTGTCCATTTGAAATCCAGCCAATCCATAGGTGGTACAATGTATGGATAACTGGCACAGTTGGCACGCATCTCAAGGTCTTCTCCAGTTTCGTTTCTCTGCAACCGTCTCCCTGATAAGGGAGACAAATTCCTTTCTCAAGTGGAAAGAGGCGGAAGA